TTCGTTTATCGAATCAGCACTAAATGAATTCAATCGAAATGGTTGGTTCTGCACCTGTCACAGATATATAGGAAATTCTACTCCCCTTCTCCTATCATAAAGGAGAGAAAATTAAGACTGTATAAACTCTGTCTCAAGGGTGTGATACGAATATAGACAACAAATTGAGTCCGAAACGTTATCCAGTAAATGATACTGTTTCACTGTGTGACATTTCTAATAAACAGACTAAAATGGAATTGCAAACGAGAATAACCTTAACCAACCAACAAATTACATGAAACTGAACGCTACGTTTCCTGCTGGACACCTTCATTAATATCCTAATTGTGTTTTTTATATGATTACCTCTACCTGGCATATTTGAAGAGGAAAACAATGAATTTTAAATCAACAAATACTCTTGTTTTATTCGAATTATTGTAGTTTTCGTCTTCTTAATGCTAACAAACATCATGAAATGCGCAATTTGCTTAACCCCTCTCATATGTTTGTTCCTGCTTCATACATACGTGCATATCATCCGAAGAGGTACAATGAAAAAATTCTTTAAATGCAATATACTTATGACGATAATAATGTTTTACCAAGCACTGAATTGTACTGGCTGACAGCATTCCTGTTCAACAAGCGTGAATGAAAATAAGATTTAGTTGAGATATTTCTACAGTAAGGGAATTCATGTTTATTTCAGTCAGGCAGTCATCATCCACAGAGAACCTAGCATCACTACTTAACGTTTTAATTTTTCACACCTTGAAGCAAGGTGTAAATGAAAGATAAAGTGGAAATAATACAACCAGTAACAGAAAGTAAGACAGTAAATTTGAGATGGGTTAAAGCAAGTGAACAAATGTACCATACCGGTAAGTGGTAAGATATGGTTTGAATGCATTAGTGTCTTGACAATCGACTTTTAGCTATATCAACTGGGGTCTCTAAACATTGACACTGGTAGTCAAAGAAGTCAAATTTGAAGTTCTATGCTTTCCTACACAACTCAGAGCAGTAAGAGACTTCATGAACTGATCCCACGCTTTAGCTCGGCCGTCTCTGACTCCCTTTAAGACTAACGGTGTAGTAACTAGCATTTCGGGTAGTACTACTCATGCCCCAAACATCTGTTTGTGAAGGCTTATAGAGATATCAAACAACTTAGCTCACTTGCCTGAAGGTTTACATACAAACTTCACGTTGCTCTCACACGGTGACTCCATACACAAGCCCTGTTCATCGAAAGCAACTGACAACCTTCTATATATCCTATTATCAGTGGTCATTTATCACATTTTTAGATAAGGGGACTGTTGAGTAGTAAACTCGACCTCTATCTAGTTATCTAATAACTCAACCCAGACCATAAGTGTCATAAATCGGTGAAAGCTAATCGATCATTTTGTATCAGCGCCACAATAACAATGAACACTAACCCACCGGGAACTTTTATAACTTTCCGATAGATATGGTCAGTATATTCAATCATTAAGACAAATTTTATGCGAATATGAAATAAAACTGATTTTTATAGATTAGGCTGTTCAAGAGATTATAAAAGAGTATATTATCTGAAATCAACTAATGAATGAAGCCAGAGACCTTGTAAGAAGCAAAACCAATTGTTGACAACTATGCTGTCAGTTTGAATGATAAAGGTCGTACAGCAAGAAATTCTCGTTGACAACACCATCACCGAAGCCCAAAATTAACTCATGAGTTCCTCACACTCACTCATCTTCAACTTAAGATACATGCCTAATCATCATTCACTTTCGATTCCTTTTGTCAGATTGTTTTTACAGTTGTGTTTTCTCACTAGAAGAGTAAGAATGAAAACTGTCCTTAATATGGTTGAATGTTCTATGTGAATTTAATGCTAGTCTAGTTTATCATCCCTCGGGAGGTAATAGGTTACTGTTTCTTTGAAACAGTAATTTAGCTGTAATATTCTTGTGGTGAATGCTGTAATCTAGGTTATATATATATATATATATATATATATATATATATATATATATATATATATATATATATATGCATGCAGACACTTGAACAATAACCTACAGATCCCAACCAAGGGGTCACTCGGTTTTCCCATCAATAGAAAAAGCGGTAAGATAACAAGTGTATTGTAACGTCAAATATATATATAAAATACAAGGGTTAATTTATATATTTACAATGGCCTCGAATATTTCCAGGCCTTTCTAGATTTGAATCCTATTGATTTTTTATCTCTTCGATTAATGTGATATTCACGTTTATTCATGTGCTTTATGTCAAAACTTCAGTGCAATATGATTGGTTGGAAAAGGCTCCAGGGGTTTACGGGATCCTACGAAGATTTTGTCAATCCTACTCTATACTATAACACTAACACTTAAATACAGTGCATAATTTTTACTCACAATCAACATTTCTCTCATGACTGTTTAAACTGAGGACGTTTCAAGTCTACTTTGGACAAGACTACTTCATTAACAGGAATCAGGAAATAGCAGGAAAGAACTTAGGTGTACGTTGAGACTCGTGTTAGGAAAAGGCTCAAAAATTAAATATTTAGATTCACTGTTTGACTTAAGTAGTTTTTTGCCTTGAAAATATTAAAACAGTTAGATTTTTTCACCAATAATATCCCAGTTCATCCAACAAATCAAAAAGTATTTCAAATCCTTAACAATAATCTTCGGGAAATACAACTCAAGGTAACCAACAGAGGAATGATAGCCACTTCTTTTACAACGGGTAGCAGTTATTACAAGTATATCAGAAAATAGTAATAACTAATACTGGTTGTAAAAGAAGTGGCTATCGGTCCTGCATGGAATAGTGGATAACGCCTTGGCATTTGAAGCGATGGGTACGAGGTTCGAGTCTAGATGGGAACAACACTCACTGGGGTGCAGGTACGTCCAGCTAGCGAGTCCCAAACAGGATGGAACGCGCGTCCTGGATTCCTCAGCCACAACCAACTAAACTACCATGATTGATATTCAGGCAACATCGAGGCATCCCCGAGTAGAAGCCCATATCCCAATACAGGTCGATCAAATCAATCCAATGAAACAACGGAGAATTACAAGTATATCAAAAAATAGTAAACAATAGAGTCTAGAAACAAGTCTTCAACCTATTTAAAGTATTTACTAACAAGTTCAAAACTGAAGAATGAGCGGTGATTATATCTGCAACGTAATGACGAATAGGATAACCAAAACTTTTCGGACACAAAATCCTTTTCACAGTGATCGAACTAAAACAGTCCATTCAACTCAATACCATTTTCAGCTGACTCCTTAACAATGACAGTAGTGTATTTTGTTAATGACTCACCAGAGTTGTATGCATTATAAGAATAATTCTGTTTCAGCTATGGCAATTGAAACCATGATAATGTTGTTTCTTTTAAGATGGGGAAAAATAAGATGATACCGCAGAAAACAACTTAACACTATAAATTAGATTTTCCAACTTATTATTACGGAAAGAATTTTTTGCGTTTATCATCTTCCCAATAACTTCTTCAGTCGTCTAATGTTTGCAAGAAAATTGTTCGCCTACTTAAAAACGATGACAGTGGAACTCAGTGAGGGCATTTCATCCTATTTAGGACTAACCAATTGGAAGTATCTCCATGCTTCACCGAGTGTTATCTCCACTGACAATTGAAGATACTGCTAGTCTATACGAAGGATGACCACGATATAATTGCACGAAATATAAAGGTGTTTATGTAAGCAGTTCGCATACAAACAGCAAGTGACCAGTTCACTTCACTAAATCAAAATCCGGAAAGATTGAATACCGTGATGCAAAAAAGTTAGGTCAAAGAACATCTTCAACCCAACCATACCTCTAAATACTCAAAATAATAATTATAAGATATTTAAAATGAATTTCTAGTGGGGACTAAAGTCAATAGAGTGCAACTAAAACAAGTTTAGAGAAATATGGAAGCGAAGTTCAGAACAGGGAAAGTAATAGAATTTAGAAAATGAACCCGACTTTTTTGATACCATCCCACATAAACCGTCTTATACATTTCTTCTCCACAGAGCCTAAATATTAAACTCCGGATTGTGAATGCATAATTATATATGCACGTTGTATCCACAGTCCTATCAAATGCTTTTATATGGATACAATCTATACTTCCCTCCTGAAATGAACTAAATTGAGAATATTCACCTAAAAAACTATAGTATGAAAGATTGCTTGGGAATAAAAACTTGACGGTTTAGCAATACTCAATAACATATCCCCAAATAAGCCTATAGTTCACTTTTTATCAATTAACATTGATAGTTCTCATAAACGCGACCTTGATGTGAACAAGTAAATTTACGATTAACACCGAAATGGTTCACATCGTAGCCAGCCTGTCCACTGATAAGTAATTTGAAAACAAAGAGGTTTGCAGCATAAAAATCTCCTCCGCGAGAGTTAGAGGCGACAGCCAGGAATCACTGCTTGACCTAGGTCCCTTGCTTTCTGGCAATCGTCAGCATGGTGCATCTGCAACCTCGATGGAACTGATGTCCTGCCTGAAAATTCGAACCTGTATCACCTAATGCTGCAGTCAGAGACGTTACCATTAGGCCATTCTGGTCGCAAATGACCTTCCGTAAAAATGGTGTGGCACGTGAATTAGTCATTCGAGGATAACCACCTTCATATTGTCTAGTCCCAAGTGCGGCGATGCTTTTTCCTAGAGCTTGGGATTAGACGCGATGAAATTGGTCACGCTCTAGTGAGCAATCCATGTATTTTTAAGGTGTCCCAGCATCTAACCCTCCAAAGTTATCTAAACGCCTAGTATAATTTCACTTTTCCCCATATTTTTATCTAAAAGTGTAAGTAGGATAACATTCCACACGATCGGACGAGGACTTATATGCATCACACTGATGAGTCACATACAGGACGAAACAAGCGTTCCCTATATCACTGATACCGAAGTGAAACACAATTAACACCTGCTAACTGTACAAGCAAATACTAATATGTGTAGAAGATAATATATGCTTACTTTCAAAAGAATTAAATTTTATTTCAAAAAATCATATCAGAAATAACAATTAACAAAAGCATAAATCAACAATTTTATCATCTTTCTAGAAAACAAATATTCAAGATTATATGAAGGAAAATCAGCGCATACAAATTCAAATATTACTTTGAAGTTCTAATAGCCATCTATGTAATGTGGCTTAACTAAGGGTAGGTGTGAAGAACTGTGTTCTACACCATTAGGGTTCGGCGACACTGAAAGCGTAGATGATTCCAATGCCCATTTCAACTGGCCTTCTGTAGTGCCTAAATAACGTGCTGCACCCAATAACATTGTATACAATGCAGTACGATAAGCACCATGCCTTAAGGCATAATCAGCTGGAATACCTGCTGAAGATGTACTACTACGTGTCACGACTACATCACCTAAATACTGATGTGAAGCCAGTGCCAGATCAATTGCATGGAATGCACGACAAGATTGTGGATAACCATTGATACACCGTAAATAATGTGAATAGATAAAGTGTGGCTGTCCAACGATTGGAATACCTGACCTATAAAACAAACGATTGAAAAGATGAAATAATAGGTGGTACTTTAAAAGATATTATAAAATGAATAAACACAGATAGGATAACTTGAATTTCTTAATAAAAAAAAATACTTGCCAAGTACCTTTAACACATAGTATAATAATAACTGACTGAGTTAATTTTCTCAGCTCTGAGCATCATTCCACTACTGTTTTAATTAACTTATCGAACCTAATGGTTATTATCGTTAGAAATCAGTGACAAATTTGGAAGTGACACAGCGATGAATTTTGAGGTTTGTGGGGATTTATTGAAATCAGATTGGTATTCCTCATGAACTGACATCAGTTGGAGAAACATTGGAAACGTGGGAGGACTGAACAGGTCTTCTGTTCGATCCCTTGTGGGGTCATGGGTGCGCACTGTTGAGGAGGCTAATTCTAGGACGAAAAAGCTTTCCAATGTTCCTCCTACTGATGTCAGTCCACGAGGAATTACCAACCTGAAGTTCATAAATCCTCGCAAACCTCAAAATCGAATAATTCTAGTCCTCATTGGTGACTAGCTTCGAGATGATTCCCAAAGTTCCAATGAGAAGTCGTGACTAGTGGAGTCACCTAAGTCGAACATGAGGACAGTTATTCAACGACGATATTGGATAGAGGCCGCGCTATATCGTGAACTGATAGAAGTAGGAAGTGTGAACAACTGGATTCCTATACAATGGGTCAACGGTGACGTGCTGGCCGCGGGACCTCAAGGTCTTGGGTTCGATCCCCTGGGGGGTCGTGGGTGCGCACTACTGAGGAGTCCGACACTCGAACGAGACAGCTGTCCAGTGCTCCCAACCTTTCAATGTTTCTCCAAGTGATATCAGTCCATGTTGAATACCAACATAGCAATAAAATTGACCTATAACTGATGCAACAAATATACACTCAGATAATCTTCGCATATTAGAATATACTTCATGTACACCATAAACCGACCCGGTGAAAAATCACGTCTAAGCAGTCTCAGATGGTTCAATAAATCTAGTTAATCGCTCCATTTACGCCCAGATAGGGGTGTTTTATTGACATACAGCGCCTAAAACTGCAGTTTTCTATTGATTGGTGAACATTTGTTGTCTGTCTACTGGTCTTCTGATTATCGTTCATTGATAATTTGTTGTCTGATAGTCAGATCATCAGTAGTGCATTTTGGTTACATCCTTTTCATAGCACTTCTGAGTATACACATACACTTTCAGGGGATTGGAAGCAACAAGCTTTCAACCTAGATCCCATGGGATATTGCCACTGGTTGGAAAGGTATATCTGTAAATTTAAAAGAACTAATTTCACCTACTGAAATAATCAATCAAGTTTCTTTATTTTACATACATCTACCCTTAAAGTTAAAGATGATAATTTGGTTAATTCTGTAGTCGCTAGTAAAGTCTTTAAGAATCATGAAAAATAAAGCCAGCACGTACATCAAGTTTTTAGGCATGTAAACAATAACTGCCAAAGATTTTGACGCATGTCCACGAAATACTTAGCTATTGATTTGAAACTTCGTGTTTACCATTATCATATAGTGTGTACTGTCTCAAACACCTTACAAACTGTGGACAATGACTTTAAAGAATAGTTCCATAACTCAGAGTAGTTCAGTTATCCTTGCTATGTACCTCTTAATTTTGGATAACTTTTGCCTGATGCTTTCCTGTAACCTTGAAATAATTTATCAGTGCTGTTTTCACACCGTTACCAGCTTTTGTTTCTCATTGGTTGGTAACTCTTTTAAACTAAATGTGGATTTACCGATTTCAAGGTCATTTAGAAATGTATATTTTCAGTATCTCTCTCAACTGCTTTGACTGTTGTTAAGACAGCAAAAAGCTCTGTCAACGGTTCATCTTCTCTTCGTGTCCTCACATGTCGGTGGTATTGTTGTAGTGGTGGTTGACGTACTGATTAGTGTTTAGAGTAGATTCGTTTGTGTGTTAGGTTAGTATCGCTGGTAGACTGTTAGGTCAGATTACCAGTCATACCAATCCTTGATATATATCTGCATATCACTTACATCCCAGTCAAAATCGTATATAAAAGTTGATAATGGTTTGGCTTGCATGACATCTAAATTGAACCTCTCAGCTAGCAAAAAACGTCAACAACTTTAGAGATCGGTAAAATAATCGGATTTATATGGTTATTACGTAAAAGCATTATTGCTCAGTAAAAAAAATCGAAAAAAGAATGAAATTATACTGCATGGAACGGAGATTATGTTAAACATTAAAACATATATCAAAATCTATATACACACCAACTAGTCTGTACATTTACAATCCAACTAGCAAGCCAACAATTAGTAGCCCATGAAAGACTTTTTCTATGGATATATTTATCATCTAAGTGTAAACGATAGGCGAAACAAGCCATACCAACACCAGGTCTCTGTAATGTATAATACACAGCTGAATCCCAATTGACTGGTAATTGAACACCTAATAAATAGTTAGTGAATAGAAACAGGGAGAAAAGTGTTGAATTTAACTGACTGTATCAAAAATATGATTTAAAATAATTATCCCAATCATCACGAATAAACAGTAGATAGTGTCTATATCATCCAAAATCCTTTTCAGATGCTTTATAATCAATCACTCGTTTACATATTACAAATATGCTAAAAATGTGAAACATACAACGGTACATCAGTCCGCTAACAGACAGTATCATTAATAAGAACATGAAAATAAGACTACGCATTACTCAAAATTGGCCCATGTTGTCATATCTCAGCACATCAAGAGAGAAAACCCTGAGTTGAAACACCACGAAATAATGAAGAATTGGTAATCAATGTACTTCTGAATTCCTAAATCATTATCGAAGTCTATAGATCAAATATATATTGTCTTCACTAGCCCTAAGTGACATGATAATGCAGTGCATTTTGGTTTAGGTGTTAGATGTTTGCAGGCGATTAGAAGAAAGCTGTACTTGACCTCCTTTAATGCTTTTAAACGCTTTGAAGAAGTTCGCGTATCATCGGAGATTAAAGGCAATGTTAGGGAATTTTACACTAAGCCAATCAAATCACGATTGCTTTCGCATCTCCTCAAGGATTATTTAATAACTGAATCAAAATTTTAGCGCCTTATGAGTAACGATGGAGGTAACTTTAAACTTAATGACAACAGTTAAAGTATTTGGATAATATTTCGGACTCAATTTATTATCCATATTCATATCATGCAACTAACTCCACAACTTTAACACAGAGTTTATACAGTTCTAATTTTCTCTCCTTCTTTGTGACAAGACAATGGTAGTGGAATTTTCTGTATATCTGGGACAGGTGCCGAATCAATTTTATTGCATATATTTGGTGTTGACTCAATGAACTAAGATTCGGTTATCAATCTCTTCATCCACCCAACTAAGTTTTCAATACTGTCGCAATTACACACAATCACACAATGGGATGGGATAGAGAGACATTACTGAAAACTTAGTTTGGTGGAGGGAGAAAAAGATAACTGAATCTTTATCATTTTGACTATCTGAGATAGTCATGATTTGACAAACTAGTATTAATACTGGGTGGTGGCTGAAGGTGAAATGAAAATTTAGACTGCAACCAGATTCGAACGAGCGCCCATTAGGTGGTTAGTAGATTTTAATAAGATAAGAAATTTAGGAAAACGCTGGGCTATAGCTATGCTTGTAATTATACACAATCAAGCAATAGAAGGAGAAAAGTGGGAGGTATTAAAAACTAACGTAGTTGGTTGGAGGGAGAGATTGATAACCGAATCTTTGTTCATTGAGTCAACACCAAATATATGCAATAAAATTGATTCGGCACCTGTCCCAGATATACGGAAAATTGTCTTGTCATTGTCTTGTCACAAAGAAGGAGAGAAAATTAGAACTGTATAAACTCTGTGTTAAAGTTGTGGAGTTATTTACGTGATATGAATATGGATAATAAATTGAGTCCGAAACGTTACCCAGTAAATGATACTGTTTTACTGAGTGACATTTCTAATAAACAGACTAAAATGAAATTACTATCTACCACAGTGCCCAAGTTTTACTTTTATATCTGAATTCATTTTAATTCTGCTCAATAGTAGGTCAGTGAGACATGATAACGAGTTCTAACTGTTAAACGTCTAGTTATTCAGCAAACCAATACTACAGAATATTCATCGAACAAGTTAGGACATATGAATATTTATTTAATAATATCAATAATTAACAATAATTATAGTAACTTTATTCCAAACAGTATGTCTGATACAGTATGGAATTCTCAGCATGTAATGAATGAAGAAATTTGCTCTTATGACAAAATTTTCCAACAAAATGATTCTGGTGTGTGAATGATGTTCATAATAACTGCATCAAAGGTAAAATGTGGCAGCAATCGGTTGGCGCTGGATTAGCATACGGCGTTTAGTGATGGTAGTTCATTCAACCAGTAGAATAGGTATCCAAAGAATAGAAATACTATGCATTTTTGTGCATTTATAAGTCGATTTCCTTCTTAAATGACTATTACAGAACAATTTAAAAATCCCCAAGAATACGTGATACATTTGAAGGACATAATTAATCGACTGAAACAAATTGAAAGGAAGGAATTTGACAAGTTATGTCAGGTGGAAACCTTCATTGGTAGCCTAAAGTTCACGCAGGTCGCCGATAACAAGGCTGCCTCACCTCCTTTATCTAATGAGGGATAATAATTATACATTGATTTACAATTACCTTGCTTATATGGAATGGAATATTTCAAAATAATTTGTGCAGTCGCAAACAACTGCTTCAAATTACCGCTTAAAAATTAAACAAATAAACATTGGCAAAGACTAGTGCACAGTTTTAATGTGACAGCGATAACTAGGTTAGCTGCTCAAAGTACAATAAATAAACTAGAATTCAGACTGCTAGCTGAAAGCTCTAGTTGGTTGCGATTGGCCATAACCAACTACTGAAGTAGTTAATGCATACAACTTTATCTGTTAACACTAACAATATGTACTGAGTATTGTATTTAATTAGTTCATGATAAACCTCCTCCGAAAAGTACAAACGTTCGTGGTTTTCAAAGAGAAACACTTATAAACGAACATACTATGCCGATTATAACTATTTTGGAGGAGAATATTCCTAACTCAGGTGGATGATCTTGGTTGTGTTACGTTTTGTTGAGCTGGATGGCTTAATCGTGAAGTTTTCATTGTCTTTCTAGACAACATCATCACCACTAACTTCAATATGAAGTGGGCTATCAATATCTCTCCGTCAATGATTTAGTGCCTTGCCCTGACGAACTGGTCTGTGATTGGTTTTCTTTGGTTGTTGTGTTATTGACTGACTGGATAGATTTTCTTGTTGGCTGTTTCTCTGTTTGACCTCTGACCTTTTTGTTGTTTATCATGTTTCTCATTGGCTGACAGACTGGGTCTGTGCCCATGTACCTATTAATTGCTGACTGACCTAAATCCCAGGCTTTTAGGAATTCTCTGAGATTCTTTGTGCTTCCTCTGTTTAGGATTTCTACACTGTCCATAGTTATCCGTAGGCATTGAAATGAGCGATGAAATGTCGTGATGTTTAATAGCCAATTGGTGTTCATGCTAACGAAGGCGAAGAAGGTAACAACTTTATCAAGTATAATGTAGATCACAATTATTGCAGTTGGTTTTGTAAATGACAATTGGTTTGTCTTCTTTAACTGCTGCGTCTTTCGGTCTGAATAATATGGTTTAGAGAGAATCGGCTGATTTATGAGCCACACACATCCCAAGTGTTCGCAAGTAATCTTGTCCTGATTTCTGATACATTCTTTATGTACAGTAAGATGATTTATTTTTTGCTTTCTGTGGATGACTTTGATGATGAACGGGATAGGTATTTTTTGATAAAGTTTCGCTGGTAGCCATTCTTTTTTAGAATAGACATCAAGTAATTTTCTTCGCTTCTCCTTGAAGTTGTGGTACTTCAGTGGGTTCTCGCTCTTTTGAAGAGCCATTTAGCAATCACCTTTGTGCGCTGTCGGGTGTAATGTTAAATAACTTAGTTTTTAAACATTTCGATATTAATGGGGGAGATTTAAATGATAATGTTACTTTGTCGACCTTCTTGAGAAATTAAAACTTTCTGTATTATTATCACTTTGAGAAGCGATTTCTTGGTGTTAGGTTGAAATTCATCATGGACTGACATCATTTGAAGGAACATTGGGAACCTGGAAGCACTGGACAGCTGTCACCCATGACCAAGTCGAACATGAGGATAGTTATTCAACGACGACATTGGATGGAGGCCGCGCTATATCGTGAATTGACAGGAGTTGGAAGCATGGACCAGTGGATTCCGACACAATGGCTTAATGGTAACGTGCCGGCCACGGGACCTGAAGGTTTTGGGTTCGACCGCCTGTGGGGTCACGGGCGAGCACCACTGAGGAGTCCCATACTAGAATGACATAGATGTTCAATGCTCCCAGGTTTCCAATGTTTCTCCAAGTAATATCACTCCATGATGAATACCAACTTAAAATCAATTAATAAATCTCCACGAACTACCAGATAGAATTCATTGGTGTTTTATAAATAATCAAAAAACCATGGTGCAAGAAACAGAAATGATGATTAACAGGCGAACATAACAATCCCAATCACGTCATAGAATTTCGTTAGGCAAGCGATATGCAAAAGACTTGTACGCTTGAACCTAAGCAATTCTTCTGTTTCTTAGTTTTATGGCTGTCTGCGATTTTGAAGGGTATTATTCGCACTTTTTTATTGCCCATATTTTTGCTTTTCATCTTCCTCCATGGAGACCAAGATTGTTCCAAAGTTATGACAGTTCCTATGTTGATACTGACTGACAGACAGTAAGTGAATGAATAACTTTAGCCTTTATTGAAGACAGTATCCTATCAATAAACATAATTTAGTCATTCAACTCAGTTAAATTACACTGAAGTTCGCTGTATTCACCGTTAGCTGGTCTTGGGGAAACCAAGAGAAAACTTCAAAGTTTGACTTTATACTTGTTGATAATTAACTGGTTTTCTATAGACAATTGAGGAAGGTCGCGTCCCCTCAGCGATTTAAACGCATACCTTTAAACGATGAAATCATTGACTTCAGGATTTTTTCAACTATACGTACCCAAAGAGATAATGATAAATTAACATGCTTAACAAAGATAGGAATATTACCTGGCTCCACAAAAACAAGCATAGAACCTCTAGCATAATGATCCACAGCATAGCGTATGAGTTCCCCTCGATTCGGTTTCAATACATTTGTTTCTATTGGGTTATAATAATACAAATGAATGCTAACCATAGAACGTAAGCGTATATTGCGAAACGGTTCTGTTATTAATAATCCTGCAGTGGTGAGATTTCGTGAATCATTATTTTGAACAGGTGAACTGTTGATGATTATGATCTAAAGTAGAAATAAAAAACCAAAAAACTGTCTGTATGAACAGAAGAAAATTGAAATTTAAGAGGGAAGTAGAACACAGTAACGTTAGACAGGCAGTTCACTGAATTGAGTTCCCAGTAAACCATCAGCTACAATTGGGTTGATCAGTGCGTAAAATGTACAAATAAAGCATAATCACATTGTAGAAGTAAACTGGTAGTTTGGAATGCCTGATCGATAGCTGATAGCTCGAAATAATGACTGGGCTGGCACATTGGATTAACTGAACCAACAACACTGTCTAGGACAATCGTTCATTGAGATCATAACCATGTTGCATAGTGAGAAAACTAAACGCACCAGTTATTAGAGTGTACACAGTTTGAACTGCATTAGAAATCTCAGATCAACATAATACTACTGGTCATACACAGATATGATAACAATAATGTTATTCCTGCAAACAACTAGTAATTCGGCTTTCCTATCTATTCAGTCAAGGAATCAAAGGGTTACAAAAGATCAACCCTTGAGATTGTCTATCTACCCTGGTAAAACGACTTTCCAAAAGCCCATAGTTACATCACAGGCTACGATAACTTCTAAAGTATCTATATTGGATGGCCTCCATTACAAATATCCACTTTCTTCATGTGACAGCCGAAAATGAGGAATAAAGAATTTATGTAAAACTGTTCAAGATCATTACATCATATAGGGTTTCTCACCTTATTTTGATGTTGCTTTGCATCCTGTATTTTGATATGATGATCTGACGTTTAGCCATTTAAATTGTTAGGCAGTAATGCCGTGTCCTACATTGGTTATGACTGACTAACGAAAAACTCTGTTTTCATTTAACCTTGTAAAAGACGTACTTATTTTTGGTCACTCTCTACTTATCTGGCGTTACAACGATCAATCTGGGTTCGAGTCTCAGTAGGAACAAAATCAATCACTGGGGGGCAGGTACATTCAGCTGACGAGTCCCAAATGGGGCGAAACGTACGTCCTAGATTTCACTGTTAGACAAAAAGTAGACTACAATATAATAAACATCCGGAAAGTATCAAGGCATCCGTATAAGAGCTCATCTACCAACAAAAATCGAGCAATTCGACCCAGTACAGCAAAGGGAAATTACAAGTATCAATAAACAAGGATCGATCTTCCTGTTCAAGACTTCTTAATTGACTTACATCACAAAGCTAACATATGAAAACTAAATATGAAAAGAGTGACACATTGGGTCTTCCAAACAACTTGAGTGATAAGATGAACATGTTTAAGATGCATTTCTCACGATACATAGAAATTGTTGTTTCTGGGTTGCTTTTAGTCGATATCACACCCGGTAGTAATAGGCAGAGAAGTAGCTGAGCGCGTTGGTCATTCTACTTCGAGATTAACATCATCCTGGATGGCTTTATGGTTGAAGAAATCTCACCAATAGTCTATAACTAACTTATGCTACCTACAGCGTCAGTAAGACAATCGGATCCCCATTAAAGATTTAGCGTACTCCCAGCATTTCGCACTTTACTGCTATACGCCGGTGAAGTATAACCATTAAAAATAGAGGATGTTTAAAAAAAACCTTCAAATATCCTATTACTGTTGCCTTCATCGCACTGAGCATGTGATGAAGTAACCAGGTGAGTGTTCCACAGGTAAGTTTTAGAGTAATGAGTGAGATAAATTATTTGCTTTCATTGTGAAACATTTTTAAATGGGGAGCTACACACACCCATCCACTGTCTAACTCACTGCACCAATAATCCAGCTAGAATAGTACTGGGTTGGAAAATAGCTATGGGTATTCAAAGCAAAACTTTGCACTAGTTTATGAAGTATCCAAGTGTAAACCTAAGCTATCAATGGTTTTCCGAGCAGGATCCACTAAACAATCAAAATTGATAATTCCAGAGTCTACATGGTGTGGTTCGGAATAAGTCGTAACAGCTAACTTGCGCTCATTTGCTTCTAAATCACACCGCCGCACATCTGTATTTATTTCGTCTGTTTTATCTTCTGCTTTACTACGACTAGTGGTAAAATTATTTTCATTTATTTCTCGCCTCTCTAGCTGACTTATATGTTGATGTAAAAAATGTGAAATCTGAGGCCTTGAGACGTTAAGCTGTTTGGGATTTTGCACAACAGCACAGATGAATTTACAGTATTTTCTTGTTTTAACCCAAACACAAAGTACGAAATGAGCACCAAAACTATTCTAAAGTACAAATGAACCGACGTTTAACTCACAAGATAGTTATGAAACGATAACATTTACGGTATGATGGTTGACAGCAGACATAATAATTTTATATGTCACTTATCCATTCTTGTTAGAGAAGCTGGGGTGCACTTAACTAGACTCATCCAGTTGCATCCAATGGATCTACCAGCTCAGTCAGTACTGGATACGAAGTTTCATCGCTTAAATTTGATCAAGTATGTGTTGACGCCTTTGAAATGAAGTGAAGACAGGAGTAATACAAGGTTGCCCCCTACTATCAACCATCATCTTCCTGATAGTGGTCGACTGGACTGGATAATGCAACAGACAACTGTAAGGAGCGAGATGGGCATACGCTGCCTGGACCGATGAAAAGACCCCACAAGAAGATTTGGATTTCGCCAATCATGATTTATGTCTAATGTCCTGCTTCACAAACTCGAAGATCTGCAGACGAAAACTCACAAGTTGGCAGAAGAGGTGAGGTGTGGCAGCGAAGGTGGGACTTCCTTCAGGTGAACGTAGAGAAGACAGAGGTGATGAAGATACCCAACCACCAACAACAACAAGCTCCAATCACTATCTACGGGAGAAACTTAAAGGAAGTAGTCTCTTTCACCCACCTGACTGGGCAGCATCGTTTACACTACAGACGGCGGCGGAGACACAGATGAGGATATCAAAGCCAGGATCAGAAAGACGGTAAGATAGGTCTTCATTAACCTGAAATCAGTGTGGAGATCTACTGCACTCAGCATAAAGAACAAGAGCCCAACGTCAAGTCAGTGCTTCTATGTCATGGTTGCGAGACTTGGCGCGTTACGAAAAGCATTTCCAACAAACTAGACATACACCACATCAACAGCTGCCGCCTACGCCCACTCGATACTAAAGATCAGATGACCATGAAAAATAAGCAGTAAGGAACTCATTCTGGCTGGCAACGAACCAGCCAAGAACCTATCACCCAACAAATATGCAGAAGGAAGTGGAGATGGATTGGATTGGGCATACACTGAGAAGACCATTCGGGGACATCACGCGCCAGGCACTCGAGTGGAACCCAGATGGGAAACGGCGAGTTGGGCGTCCGAGGGTGACATGGAGGAAATCATGTGAGGAAGAAATGAAAGTTTCTGGGTAGTAGTGGAGCCAGGTTAGTAAGACTGCACAGAACAGAGTGAAATGACGACGTGCTACTGAAGCTGTATATCGCACTAGGAACTCAAGAGACAAATAATAATAATAATATAATAATGTGTTGATGAATAAGATTTCCTTGATGGAAGTTATGATTGTATAGACATGTCACAGCGCTGCACGAGATTATGCGGGCCTAACTAGACCTACGATATGCTATGCAATTCAGAGGTGATGTTTTTTCACGTTTTTGATTTGATTATAAATTCGGTAACGTAAATAAAACACCACTTTTTTTGATTTTAAACTGTCACTGACACAAAATCTACCCCACCAGTATCGATTTCAACCCTTCATACTATTGGTGTTGGAAACTCAGTTTATATACGAACTATTCGACACGCTCGTGTGTAGTCTGATTGTTCGCAATGCACAGTGCTAATACAAATATAATGAATAACCATTGTGTTCTCATTACATGGTTTAAAGACAGATACTAATATTTCTTAACCGTAGAGGGAATTTTGTAAGAACATATCAATTTTTGCCATAGCTCATCCTTAACTGGATTCTCAAAGAACTTGTTCTCATATTTTTGCTTTCCGATGCGTTCTGACATATTGATGACTGACCCACGGAAGCGTCGGATAAGTTTTTTGAGAATTACTTATTACTGCTGATTATTCCCTTCCAAATCTTATAGAACAGGAATGACTACTTCTGGATCACTTAGAAAAGACAACCGCCTTTTCAAGTAAAACAGCGGACACTTGAAATCTGTCAGGGTGTAGACGAATAAAGGTATAAAACATTATTCACCACATTATAAGCTAACGTGTAAAAATATCGACTAAGAAATAACATAACAAACACTGTATTACATATAAATGTAAAAGACTGTTCGTTTCAAAAATTGGACTTGTGCATCAAACAAAACCACTGAATAATCAAAATATGCAATACAATAAACTTTCTACAAAAAAGCTTTTTCGATAGCATCATCAGAATACGAAGTTTATTTGAAAAATAAGATGTATTTGCGCAATACCTTTCAAGCAATTTTATCCCAACAAAGAAGAGATAAATCAGCGAAGAAAATTTTCTTTTTCGACAATATCACATTCTATAGCTGTACAAACGAATTTATATATAACATAATCATATAAAAGTCTATTATAAAACAATAAGGTATAATTGCATCATTTACCTAATGCTGAAAAACCGAAATCAAGAATGCAAAGTAGTTGCGTAATAATCTAAGACAGTAGAAATAACGGGGAGGGCAAGGAGTTTGACAAGGTGAAAATTGTTGGTAGATAAGAAACGCAAATATTGAGTGTCCACTTGATAGATAGATGTAAACAAGGTGAAGAATGAGACAAAGGTCATAATGAAGGTGATAATAATAAACTAATTAATTATAATGAAATCAAAAAAATGTGAAAGTGTTAAGACCATGGTAATATAAGAGATTGGACATACTTCTTTTGCACACAGAGATCAAGCTTGAATGGATGAATTGCCAGTGCTTCCGCTGTGCACAACTGTCGAAGGCGTACTCCTTTTGAACTAATCCATCTGACACGATAAATGACACTGAAGGAGGATTCTGGTCGAGCTTTATGTCCAGAGTTGACCAAATGTTCAAGAATTGAACTGTTAATTGACTTACATTCTTACCTCGACAACCATGCAGGATAGTGCTCAGAGATACGTTTGGAAAGCGTGCGCTTTGTGCGGCCTATATAACTAACTCCACAGGAGCAAGTAAATTTGTAGACACACACCGAGGTGACCCAAGGTGGCAACTTGTCCTTAACACACTCCAGAATGAGTTGTTGACTAGAGAAGCTGAACTGCAGCTTCGCAGAGAAGAATGTCTTCTTCAGTGATCTGGACAGCCGATTCTTCTGGATCTCTGCTGCCGTATCACCTTTGAAAACAACGTTCATAAACAAGTTCTTCTTAGGAACTGTGAGTGCTCCCTCCGTATTCTGATTTACTTCCAAGTTCTTATCAATAAATCTGGATGGATATCCATTTTGCATGAGGATCTTCCGTAGTTTGTCTTATTCTTCGTCGATAGCATCACTCGTGCAGATTTTTTGATTCTTGAAGATAAAGAATGGATTAGATTCCTCTTTCTGCTGAAAGGCACCCAGATATGGAAATTCAAATATTGTCTGTTTCATGTAGGCTTCCTATAAATTGATCGCTAAAGAGAGTCATCTGGTCTCCGTTTCGAAAAAACATCGAGAAAATAGAATTCTGAGCTCTCTTCAAATTCTGGTGTGAAGTTGACCGATGGGTGACAATCATTGAACTTTTTAACTACAGTCTCAATATCTGTATTTCGATCAATTATGACGAATGTGTCATCCATACATCTTTAATATAGGTAGAAACTATCAACTGTTGAATGCAATACACTATTCTCTAACTTCGCCATAAAGCAATCAGCCAGCAATGGTCCAAGTGGCGACCCCACAGCAAACCCATCCTTTTGTCTATATAGATCATTATTGAATTTGAATTGCACATTGAAAGTACATCTTAGAAGCAATTACTTTAAATAATGCTTTGCGATACTCACTTGAAAATTATCTTCAATAAAATCACATAGAAAACAGATAGTTCCCGTGAGTAGGACATTGGTGAAGAGCGAGACCGCGTCCAGAGAAATCACTCGCTTACCGGATATATTGACATTACTAATTGAGTTGACAAATTCGAAGGAATCCAATAAGCAATGCATGTGTAGCTGTTTTCTGACTGGCTGGAGGACATCAGACAGACACTTGGGGATAGAATGATATAGTGAATTGTTCACGTTCATATGTGCAAAAGAAGTATGTCCAATCTCTTATATTATCGTGGTCTTAACACTCACATTTTGTTGATTTCATTTAAACAGCGTGATGAGAAGACGAAAGGGACCAGTTGCTTTAAATTTTTTGATTTCATTATAATTAATTAGTTTATTATTATCACCTTCATTATGACCTTTGTCTCATTCTTCACCTTGTTTACATCTATCTATCAAGTGGACACTCAATATTTGCGTTTCTTATCTACCAACAATTTTCACCTTGTCAAACTCCTTGCCCTCCCCGTTATTTCTACTGTCTTAGATTATTACGCAACTACTTTGCATTCTTGATTTCGGTTTTTCAGCATTAGGTAAATGATGCAATTATACCTTATTGTTTTATAATAGACTGTTATATATCATGTTGTTATTCATCGTAGACTGACATCATTTAGAGGAACAGTGGGAACCTGGGAGCACTGGACAGCCGTTTCGTCCCAGTATAGGACTCCTCAGCAGTGTGCACCCACGACCCCGCCAGGGATCGAACCCGTGACTTCAGGTTTTGTGGCCAGCACGTTACCATTGAGCCACTGGATCAGAATCCAATAGTCCATATTTCCAACTTTTGTTAGCCCACGGTCGTCGGTCGTGGGTGCGCACTGCTGAGGAGTCACATACTAGAATGAAACAGCTGTCCAGTGCTCCCAGGTTTCCTTTGTTCCTCCAACTGATGTCAATCTACGATGAGCAACAACTTGAAATATTTCCAAATCTTCACAACTCCCTCAAAATTCAATTGGACTGTTATATGTTTATTATATATATAAATACGATTGTACAGCTATAGAAAATGATATCGTCGAAAAAGAAAATTTTCTTCTCTAAATTATCTCTTCTGTGTGATTCAATGGGCATTTTGCGTAGTCTGATCACAATAACTTTTCGTTGATGCACTTATAATGCTTCGTTGTTTTACTGGGTCAAATTGTTCGACCTCTATTGATATATGTGCTCCTATGCGGATGCCTCAATATTACCTGAATATTTACTATTTATTATTATTGTTATTTATTATTTACTTGGTTGTGGCTAGCAGAAGATTCTAAGACGCGCTTTTCGTCCTACTTGAGACTCGTCAGTCGAATGTACCTGCACCTCAGTGAGTGATGTTGTTCCCAATGAGACTGATCACACATTTACTTGTCAGGTCAATTTATATCAAACTGAAGATTGGGAGTGCAAAATTAAAAAGTGACATAGTTGATCCTAATGTTGACAAGGGAACAAAGTTCACCAAGGTAGGTGTGGTGTACGAACAAGTTGTTTTTGTACACATAAATTTGGTTTCAATTTGTGTATGACTATCGCTTCCACAAATCTCAGTATACGTCCCTGACTGTTTCTACACAAAACTTTGAAAGCTGTTAGAGCATTAATTCTGTGACTGTTTCCATAATATGTTTGGGTATAGATGAAGTGGGTCGTCTCCCACCAGCGTTTACCAAAGTCTCATTCTTCATTCGTTTTTGGAGCCATTTGGGTACATGTTCTCTCACCTACAACTGCATAGCTCGATTACTCCTCCTTATGCATGTGCAACCACGAATATATGTAAACTGGTAAACACAATGGGATGTGACATAACCATTGATGTACTGTTCAGGTTCGTGGTGAAGCATATGTCTTGTTTTTTCCACAATGATAAGAGGATAGGAGAACATGTACCCAAATGGCTCCAAAAACAAATGAAGAATGAGACTTTGGTAAACGCTGGTGGGAGACGACCCACTTCATCTATACCCAAACATATTATGGAAACAGTCACAGAATTAATGCTCTAACAGCTTTCAAAGTTTTGTGTAGAAACAGTCAGGGACGTATACTGAGATTTGTGGAAGCGATAGTCATACACAAATTGAAACCAAATTTATGTGTACAAAAACAACTTGTTCGTACACCACACCTACCTTGGTGAACTTTGTTCCCTTGTCAACATTAGGATCAACTATGTCACTTTTTAATTTTGCACTCCCAATCTTCAGTTTGATATAAATTGACCTGACAAGTAAATGTGTGATCAGTCTCATTGGGAACAACATCACTCACTGAGGTGCAGGTACATTCGACTGACGAGTCTCAAGTAGGACGAAAAGCGCGTCCTGGGTTCTTCTGTGATAAAATTGTTCGAAATGTATCACGCAAATACATCACACTGTAAAGATAAACTTCGCCATCTAATTACACTATCGAAATTCATAAAAGGGACTAACTGCTTCAAAAAAGCTTTTATTGTAATCGCTAAGACTACTTAAAAACTAACAATACACACTTCTAACCTCGATTTGTCTTTTACCCGAAGCATTATGAACTGCCAGATCAATTGTATTCACCAGTGAATTAGATGATTTTGAATTGGTTAATTCCACATCTTCAGGATCAAGACAGTCATCTGGATGACCATAACCCATGGGAATGATAACAGATATTGAATCATTGAGAACATGTTCATATAATAATCCGGTAGATTGTTGTAGGTTTAAAAGGTCCAACGGTTCAAATACCTCGGAAATTTAGGCAGTATTTAAAATAACAGAACAATTAGTAAAAGTGGAAAATTATTTCATGAAAACTCAGTTTAATTAAGTCTGATAGGTGAGCAGTTCATATACCTACTATTCAGAAGTTCATTATGCCATCGAATTACCCACCCAAACTAAAATCTAAGTGAGGTGGTTTTGAATGCATGTTAAAACCCCTTAATACACGTGTAAGACTTGAGCACTATTGTAGAATATAATTCCCAATCTAATATGGAATCACAGACAAACGGCTGACAGACACTTGGTGCTAGATTTCAACACCTTCTGGATAGATGTATATCCAGTTATCTAACCTAAACGTAGACTAATACATGTATAACTGAAGGACTAATCAAAACTAAGTATTAATCAACTATGTAAACCAATAAAGCAAGCAGTATTGGAGATGCAACGTATCAAAACTATATACAAGGCAGTGAAATGTCAATAATTATGACTTTCTATCATATCTCCTAATTTTATGAGTTGTGTCTCGCTGGACTAGGCAATTCACTTACAGATAATACATCCTCGGTTCGAAATTCATGCCACTTACAAAGGTTTGAGCAGTCAAGTAACACAGAAATGCTTCATCAAGCTTTGCATAAATCCTTCCAAAGTTAGATCTTAATTAACTACCGTAAAAAAATTACTCATCATTTTCAATATGTAATGTGATAAAGTGAACATCCACATTGGTGATCAGTACACATAGAACTATCAACAGTATCAACCAATTTGATCTCAAAACTCAAATTCTTATTATTTGTACTTACATTTCTTATTTTTTACAACAACAGAAACAGTTAAGAAATTTACAACAAGCAATGAATGTGGACAAAGGAGGATTTATTAAATTTAAAAATTTCAGTAGTACTTCTCAACGGCATACTCTACATACTTCACTTCAATATATACACTATTTAAACAATCCAAAAGAACATACATTTATACTTATGTGACATAGACTGAGATGTCGATTTAGATGCAACAACATAGGAATGAACAGCTTTTACAGATCAAGTGGTAATGCAAAAGGTAGAAGTAGATGTTCGAAATTGAATGGGTTGGGGATAGTTACATGAGTTTGTATAATAGTACAGTCTAAGGGCTATATGGATTTCAGGTGCAATAATAATAATAATAATAATAATAAGTGAATTGAAATAATAAAATCTGGTCAGCAGTTGAATCTCATAGCTCAGTTTTTAGAGCACTGAGCCAAAACCCAGTGGTTGCTACCTTGAATCCCATCGTGGTCCAAATTTTCATATCATCTTTAATCACTAGCCAGTATCAATACTAGTCTGCTAAACCACGACTACCTCAGATAGTTAAAATGATAATCAATATGATGCTCCTCCCCTCCAGTCCAGTTAGATTTGGATTGGGATGAAAAGTCCTGACTAGGCAGCCAGTGTGAGTATGATGAAGCGATAGTAACGCGTCACGAATTCATATGGTAGTCGGGCAAAACCCTTAGTGATTGAAGTGAAATAAAAATCTGGTTAGCAGTCGGACCTCGTAGCTCAGTTGATAGAGGCACAGGGGCGGAAACTCAGTGGTCTCTGATTTGAATCCAGCTGCGTTCAAATTTCCACTTCACCTTCAATGATAAAATTGTTGACACAGGAGTAGGGACTGAATCAATTCAGTGAAGACTGCATCATCCAAAACAAGATACTTCATAGTACTTATGAAGACATAATAAAGAAATCAGGTGTATATTAAGATTATTAATGGTGATAACAATGGTAATAGGAATAAGGTTAATTAGGCGAAACAAAAGTATAAGATGGGTGATAATTAAGAGCGAAGAGCAAATAAAAAATTCAGTATGATTAAACGACTCTGTAACTCCTACCATGGCAGATTCAAGCTGACAACTATTTCCTTCTGAATGCAGATGTTGGGTTTGACAACTCGAATAGCCCAGGCTTCAGCAATTCCAAGCAATTTTTTTTTATTTTGCCGTCTACTGATAACCACTCTACGCTCAATCGATTCGGTCCTCACCCCTGCATCAGCATTATTATTATTATTATTATTATTATTATTATTATTATTGCACCTGAAATCCATATAGCCCTTAGACTGTACTATTATACAAACTCATGTAACCTATCCCCAACCCATTCAATTTCGAACATCTACTTCTACCTTTTGCATTACCACTTGATCTGTAAAAGCTGTTCATTCCTATGTTGTTACATCTAAATCGACATCTCAGTCTACGTCACATAAGTATAAATGTATGTTCTTTTGGATTGTTTAACAGTGTATATGATCAATTATGTAAAGTAGTAAATCCTGCTTTGCCCACATCCGTTGATTGTTTGAAATTTGTATCGCGAAACAAATAGTGAAGACGTCTGACACACATTTGGGAACAGAAATCCCTTTCATCTGATCTCTCAGCAATCCATTGTTGCCATTTCCTATATGCCCAACATACACTACTTATATCCGTCCTTTTAAGTAGTTCACACTACAACAGTACTGGTCACATACACTCATTTATTCTTACAGTGGGAAGTTCTACGAGAATATGCTTATTTTTCGGTAACTACCTTTCTCGAAGGTACACAGACAAGATCAACTTAAAACCCCCTCAAACTTAAATTTCATGACTTTGGTTTTCTAGTAGGATGATTTATATTGGAAGTATTTAAAAATGCGCTCAAATACAATACTACATCTTCAGCATTTACAGTACTCTAAAAATATGGTGCTCAAAGTATACTCAATACACGGGGAAAAGCATTACATAAAGTTATTCAAACTTTACATAGTGTATAGAAAAAACAGTCATTACTAATTTACCTCTTCTAGCCTTTCACGTAGGCATACTGAATTCCAATTAGGAAACGATTGATAAATATTTCTCCATAATCTATCCGCTGTAGATATAGACGACCATTCCACATTGTTACAAAGTAAGCTTATTTTAGGCATCAGAGAACGACTGCATTTTAAACCCAATAAATATAAACCATTGAATGATTCCGTTTGGGAATTGCTGATTTGCATATTCTTCGATTGTGAAATTCTTGAACATCGTTTTGTGATGCCTAGAACTACGTCAACCTGTATTTATTTAAAAGAAATTATAACTTTGTGAAAGCCTTCAGTCACAACATCACAATTCAACTGATCTATGAATTATTTATGTAACATAAAAACTCATGTTGTTAACTCAGGCTTTGTATTTTCTTTTGCTTTCATCAGGAATCGGTACATGTCCAATAGAAAGAACACATGTCACCGTCGGAAGACACTACCATTGAACAATTTGAGTAGTTAGAAATCACTCAGCTTGATCTGTCCATTTCGTCAGCCAGATCAGAGTGGTATAAATCGGTAAAATGGTCTTGTGGTGTTTAGATCACTTTGATCTGGCTTGCGACATCTACATATCCACCTTAATGGTTTTCAACTACTCAAGTTATTCAGTAATAGTATCTTTCGCTAGTTCATGACACTTTTGTGTCAGAGATCATATCTTCTAATGACACTGAACTCTTTCACTAGATAGCTTACAGTTTTATATCATAATCTGACTTTGGATAACCACCCTGGCTAAACACAGTAAGAAATCAAATAAGTTATGGTCCTGTAATGTAAAGGCTGATCACATTACCTATTCATAATGTTAAACAATAACTAGGCAAGATGTCTGAATCTAACTACTTCACTTTGGCTATTTAGTTGATACAATCCAGATATAATGCATAAACTATAGTCTGAATACTAATGCATATAACTGTTCATCATTACTACTGGTATGCACTTTCTTCATGCCAAAATGATTGGATCCTATTGACTGAGATAGAATATAAAAATACATAACATAATACAACGGTATCTCAGTCTGGACTATCGAAAAAATTAACAGTACAATGAATTAAAGTTTCTAAACAAAATAAATAATGAAAAAATTCATAAAACCAAAGTAATGAGTGCAAATAACATATAGGTGCTCCGGTTAAGTCGTTGATCTTCAACCTTCATTTTCTGATAATCATTAGAAGCTTAACTATAGATTTTTATCATGAAATTAAATTACCTACAATTCATCCAAAGACTATTTATCTCTGTTTGACAAACGTTCCACTGTTGGAAGAAATATTTGCGTACAATTCAAAGGAAGAACTGTTGAACTTTTTCGTCGTTTGCTTCAGCTGTTCACCAACCCTTGGTTACCATGAAAGGACTTTTCTTCTCTCTTCAGGAAGGGAAGGAACTATTAACGATTAGAACCAATTAAAAGGGCGATCATGTCTAGCTTCTATAGGTCACCGTCTTTAGATATCTCTGGTGTAAGTCTACTGGGGCTTTCTGCCCCTTTTTGTTAGAAGGTAAACCCCGTACAGTAATCAATATGAACGTTAGATGACGAGTACTGAGTAAAGAAGGTATGTTGGTCAATGTGTTTGCGAACTTGCACTAACCGCTGACATGACTGAAATATGTTGTGCGCATGCCTACTACACAGCGCTATTTGATGTTGAATTACGAGTTAAGAAAGCTAAAGGAAAGCAAAAACATCCAGACCTAATCCAGACTCTTGAGTTGAGTAGAGGAGCCTAGAATAAGTGATGAAGAGCGGTCGACAAAGGTTGGGACTTCATACGCTTTTTTCCTTCCGTGAATTTAGATAAAGCAAGAAGAAAAATAATAGCAGAAAAAAGAATGTATGACAAAAAAAATTCTATTCTATAGGTTGTAAGTCAGTTGAGGAGAATTCACGAAACACATGTAAGCCAATTCTGTTACAATTTTTCCTCTTGCTTGCTTTAAAAGATTAACAGTTGGACATTAGGCACTCAGAAACAAAACTCAAAATCTATCATAATGACGTCGGTGGATTTACACTTTATCATCTTTGAAATATTAAACATTACCAATAAAATTCAGTTAATTATTGTTTCCACTCTAGCCCTTTTTTCGCTTACTTTATTTCTATTGTATTTCCACTCACTTTTTTTCTCTGTACGTATGATAACTTGGACTTCTGTCCTCAGTTATATGTTCGTCTGTTTATCGTGAGTTTTTTGAAGTAGAGCGGCTTCTCGTGTACATGAGTTGGATAAAAACGATACTTATTCTAAGACACGATATAAATGCACAGGCTGACTTATCATTTTCAGTGTTAGTCATCTAAGCATTTTTTTCGAACCAGTATTTAAAATGAGTTTGATTACTCTGTTTGCAAACTCCGTGAAATCTCAATATTTCCTCCCAAGAAAACCATATGCTGTCATCCATTCTGCACTTTGACAGCATATATAGGTTTTGAGATTGAATAGTTTCATATCGACCGTTTTGAGTGAGGTGTTGGAAGTTTTGCCGACCTGTCTGATACAGGGTGATATTGGACCATTATTCAACCTTATGACCAAACATCTCTCAAAAGCCTTAGATTGGCAAGACAGTAAATACCTAAGCTGTACAGTTACATCGAAAACGGTTCAGGTAAAATCTAAGTTATGGATGCAAAAAATATCAAGTATTATCACCTTACAATAACTTATATCACCAACAAGAAAATGGTAGTTATCTATTTAAATAATGAATGAGATAGAGCCGTAACAAGTGAATCAATCACTGAAAGATTCTAACGACCTACTTCCGATGCAGCTGTCTAGTGTTCAACCGGGTTTAATATCTTTAGAGGAGAGCAAAGAAAGTAGTGATTAAAAGTAAAAATAACAAAATTTGAAAACTTCACCTGACAATTTCTGTTTTCACCAGTTAACAATTGTATGGTTTCAGTTAGTAAATGTTCTCGTAAATCTATTGCACGTGGATTGATAACGATTATATAATTTAAATTCTTTTTTATTGCAGTTTGTAGACCAACTTCCAGTAATTTTGAACAATCTTCTTTCTAAAAGATGAGAAGTAAAATTAATACAATTGTAAATTTCCCGTAGATTTCAAAGGTGTTTTTTTTTGGTACCGGTTGAGCAAACAATCGAAGCGAAAATGTAATGTGTAAATACATTGTTCTTCTCGATAACTATTTAACAGTACACGACAGTCACGTATTTTCGGGATCAGGTATACATGAATGCACCATCACATAAAAAGACAAAATTAGCATTGCTTTATAAGTAGCCACTGGTAAATGAACCAACTCCCTTTCAGATTGAAATGATCATCACTGAGTAGGGAATCAGAGTTTCAATCGCTATAAAAGTTGTGAGCACAACTAGGAATTTACGATACGATAAAATGGTTGCTTAGCGAATCCTGATTATTAATGGCTAACCTCACTAACTATTGGTTGAGAATTTAATGTTTTATTTTTGTGGAACTATTTTAAAAAAGAGTGTAGCTTTCCACTAAGTGATGATACTTCTTCATCATACTCAACTGAAGGTTAGGTGACAGTTACCTGTCCTATAGAAGTTCATAGTTAACGACTACGCTAGAAGATAATCACAGTGTCAAATTTTACTAAAACTCTAAACTTTCAACCTACTTGAATCTTTGAAGTTAACTGTTTAAAAACAACGAATGAGTGAGCTAAATATTCTATAAAAGAGCAAATTAGTAATCGTATCGAGGGTAAACCGGTGGATAAATGCTGAAAATTACCACATGACGAGGTTCTCCTGTGCTATACTGTGCGGAAGGGAACTACTTAATATTTGTTTCACTTCCACTTAAGCGCCGGTAACTAAAACATGCTTTTTTTTCTTTCCTTTTGCTTTTGCCACTTAGGTGGCCAGTGGTCACGTCTCTATGAAGAAGATTTGGACTCGAGACGTCATAAAACATGAGAATAAAAAATCTACCTATAGGAAGATGACATATGTTAGTCCACTGTGACAAAAACACAAAGTAGTTGGTTGTCAATTACGATGTTTTGCAAGAAACCATATGATAGACAGTGTTTTAACTTATAACAAACATTTGCAGATGACTGATCGATATGGTACAGGTTTTATAAATTGTCAACCAACGAGATTTGCAGTAATCCATAGTGTGATCGAGTGATATATTTATCGAATAAAATCACCGATTTTCAGATGATTGCACACGAGACAAAAATGCAACAATAAAGGTATATTTTGTCGAATATATCCTTCTTCACAAAAGCAGATCAGAACCTTTTCATGTCCTACTGATTTAATAAACAGTGAAACGGTAAGACAGTGAACTTTCACTTCTCACCAGTGCTCTCTCAATACTTTGTTTAAGGAGATTTAGACACATGTCTCTAGATTCTTCAGTATTCGATTTAAACTTGAACATGCCTCTTTCAGCAGCTAAGAAATGTCGCTGACACAAGACGTGCGATTCCCTTCCCTTGACATAAAACTGCAACTCTTCACCTTTATACACTGTCAGGTACTAAGCAGTGAATGTTGATGATACTCAGTTGCTTCACTTGAAGTAGATAGGTGCGTCTGATCTCGTAGTTAAGTGCCACGACAACTGAACAGTGCGACAATATACAAACATTTACTTGGCAGCTGCTTTACGTTGCTACTCACTAGGTCATTTCTTTGATAAAGAAATAGTGTCAAAAAATGTGGAGTAAACAATAATAATGATAATAGCAAGACAAAATTAAACATATATTCATTGAATACAGTAACCTATGAATGGACATGAGTATTAATACAAGATGGTGAAAACAAGAGAAGCAGAAGAAGGGGAGAACAAAAAATGAACAAAATAATGAGGACACCACTATAACAAGTTAATCACCATGTGCTTTCGTATACTGATATTTGGTCTCCAGAACAAAGTTACACAGTCTTTTGAGAATACAAACTTTCCTATCTTGCCATCTACTGATTACTGTGGGGGATCTAGCAGAACCAGTATCATGTTTAAAGTTTTACTAAAACCTACGAATTCATTTAATCTAAATTCCTGCACATATGTTACTTTTTCCAAAACACTTAATTAGAATGCAACGAAAGTTCATCCTTCCAGACACAAAGAAATTAATTTTTAAAGATACTGTTTTGTGACAGTAGTTTCTGAAATTCTGTTATTGTTTTTTTTCTTTTCAAGGAGAAGTGAAATCAAATTACATTAAGTCATAAAATATGCGTATCAACCGAAGAACTTAGATTCCAACCAACTGGTTAAACTCAACGTTTATGATTGACTTTGAGAAGAGAAACAAGAAGGTAAACTTCTCTTTTAGTGATGAATTCTTTCGCCTTTAACTCGATTATATCTGAAAAGACTACACTCTTTGTGGAATGACCTATATTTAAAGCACCTTCGTCATTCAATAACAACCATGTAGCCAGTACGCACACCAAAGAATTAATGTGCTACATATTTTAGAAGCATTTATATATCCTAAGTTAGACCTTTGTGAATGAATATAAATTCTAATTTCTCTTAAACCAGATGTTAGACATAAATATTTAGTCAAAGCCTTTAGCAATCAGGACCGCAATGATACAAATTGACAATCAAAAAGATAAGTAATTTTCAACTGATTAAATCTGCTTGATGTTTGGTTTTGCTTACATTTTCAACTGACCTTATCTACATGGTCGCCAATACTCAATCATCCTGCTTAATCATGAGACAGGTCTTAGTAAGATTTCTTGCTGATCCCCATATTCAGCCGAATCCACTATAGTTGTAGACCATCAACATTCACTTGGTTCATTAACAATCAACTGCTATAAATCAAAATCAGATATGTAGTTACAATTATTTAAATTATTGATGTCTTCGGTCGAATAGCTTAAGATATTAGTTTACTCAAGTATGTTCCCTATGTGAATCAGTGAACGTGATGATTAAAGCTGAAAATTAATGGTAAAACAAAGCAAAACGCTCACCTCACTAGAAACATACTGAAATTTCGACAGTAATTTACTCTTGACACTGGAATCATAATCAACAGTTGTTAGTTGACGACTAATTGGGATGATACGAGTGTAAAGTTGACTATATGCACAATAAACATGAGGATCCTCCCAATCATTATTATGACTTAAATTGCGTCGTACAAGGGAACGAATATGATATTCATCTGTCAAAGGAACTGCATCGTCTTTCTTAGCCTACAAGAGTAAGTTTAAAATGTTTACATTTATATATCCTGAATAATCACGTAAACATATGACAAACACTTAGTGAATTCAAAACATTTGCAATACTTTACACATTCTTTGAAATATGGAAACGCCTGAAATAGTCGTATCATGAGACACTGAAAACCAATTTTACTTTTTGTCTTCTCTCTGTGTATACCTTTATGATCATTTTGGTCCTTTAGAAGGTAGAAATTCATCCTTGCTCAACAGAAATTTATCAAAGGAACTAGATCCATGAAACTCCTAGCATATTTGTTAGTAGTGACACCGCAATCATTAAACTTCTTAGTATAAAACGGATTCATATGTTTCCAAAGTAGTGACAAGTAACGGTATATGTCTTCCGAACAAAGTGGAAGACTAATGGTACAATTGATGATCACAGATGTACATCATCGGATTCGGAAATGCCAATCAATGATTAACAATCAAAAGGCAAAACTAGAAAGCATACTAACGACACAACACATGACAATGTTGACAACTGCAACTGAAAAATAAATAAGACGATACAAAGAACAACGATGAAACGTCCTCAGAAAAAAGCTGCTCAAAATCTCCGAAGCACCTTCAACCGATGAAACAAACGACTGCATTGCCAACTTATCAAAAAAGCCACTTACAAAAATGGAAGAACTTCTTCTTCAAAAAGGATTGAATTACAACACAAGAGATGCCTCAAAACCAGGATTCTTTGCGGTATTAGAGTCGTCACTTAAAACACTAGGATTAAATGAGGTCACTCAACAAGAAATACGGCAAACGATCGTACCAATGACCAAGCAAATGAAACATCACGCTCAAATGAACACTGAAAACAGAAAGGCTGAAAAATAGGAAAGGCATCGTTATCCTTCCAGCAGACAGGGGACGCACTACAGTAGTCAAGGACAAAGAAGACTACATCAGGAAAGCGGACGAATCACTCAAAAACGAAAATGTGTAACAACTACTTGAAACCAACCCTATACAGACGTTCGACAACCACACCAATAAAATCTTGAAAAAAATCTTCAAAACAGAAGAAATAACAAAGAAAGACCAATGGAGAATGAAATCGAATGGACCTTTCCTTCCTCGGTTCTACTGTAGACCAGAAATACACAAACCAGACATCCCTCTACGACCAATTGTCTCACCTCCTGAAACTCCGACATACAACATATTGAAAGAACTTTCGAGAAAACCGAAACACCTCGCTCAATCATGCAGACATTCCAGCAAATCACAAACGGAATTCTTAGAAAAGATCAAAAACATTAACACAGAAAACGACGAATTAATGGTATCCTTCAATGTCACAGCACTATACACATCCATCAAACCTCAATTGGCCAAGGAAACTATGTCCCTTCTGCTCAATGAAAACACAAGCCTTACAGAATGCACAAAACTTAAATGTTCAAGTCTGATGGAACTCATCGACCTTTGTATGACAACATACTTCCAATTCAATGGCAAGATATACAAACAGGCGAAAAGAACTCTAATGGGATCACCGATATCCTGACTAATTGCGGGAGCAGTGATGCAGAGACTGGAAGCCATCATCCTATCTATGGTCAAACCGAGATTCTGGATTCGCTATGTGTGCGACACTTTTGTCATACTAAAAAAGATGATACAGAAAACACCCACAGTTTGATCAACAACGTTTCCAGTGACATCAAATTCACAATGCAGAAGGAGTCAAACAACCAACTACCATTCCTGGGTGTTTTAGTCAGTAGAACAAATGACGGAAAGCTGGGAACCCAAGTGTACAGGAAGCTAACACACACTGACCAAATCCACAACTACAGTAGCAACAACCCAATAACACATACAATCAGTTGCGTGCAGACTCTATTCAAAAGAGCAAGGACATACTGCAGTACAACAACTTCATGGAGAAACGAAGAAAATCATTTGATCTCCATACTAAAGAAGAACGGCTACCCACGAAACTTTATCACAAGATGCCTATCCCGTTCATCATCAACTACAAAGTCATCGACAGAATATAACAAAAATCATGGCAAGATTACTGAAACCACTTGGAATTGGTGTGGCTCATAAACCAACAAATTCCCTGCAAACACTTTTATGCAGACCAAAGGATGCGACAGCCAAAGAAGACAAACCGAATATCATTTACAAAATCAACTGCAATAACTGTAGTCAACACCACATTGGAAAAAGTGGTCGCTCTCTTCGCCTTCGTCTACGTGAACACCAATTGGCTACTAAACGTCACGACATTTCATCACTCATTTCAATGCACGTGGATAATTACGGACATGAATTCAATTTCAACAATGTAGAAATTTTGGATGGAGAGAGTAAACACAAAAAATATCAGAAGATCCCTAGAAGCTTGGCATTCAGGTCAGTCAGCAATCAACAGATGTATAGACATAGACCCAATTTATCGACCAATCAGAAAGATGATAAACGACAGAAAGGTCGGAGGTCAAGCAGAGGGACTGCCAACAGTCACTGACACAACAATCAAAGGAAACAACCAATCATAGACCGCTTCGTCGAGGCAAGCTACTAAATCACTCACGGAGAGATATTGACAGCTCACCTCATACTGAAGTTAGTCCAAATTACGTCGTCTAGAAAGACGATTAGAGCTTCATGATTGAACAACCCAGCTCAGAGAACACAATACAACCAAGACCATCCACCTGAGCTACAAATACTCTCGACTATTTCAGAACATAATGTGCGATATGGTACATTATATAGCTTTTGCGTGATAGGCTGTGCACAAAAAGCTGATCCCTTACAAACAGCCTACAGTATTCACTGAAACACCTTTGCACTGAAAACAAAATGACGTAATTGAACGACTCAGTTGGTAAACACACGTTCATTAGATTTGAGTTAGATACATAGGTACTTCAGCAAGAAACATTTTATGTTTTGTTCAAAAAAACTACCTGAAGATCTTATTTTTTTATTTAATTACAAATTCATTATTTACTATAACCTAAAAAAAGAAAACAACAGCTGCAGGATACATGTTTGCAACTAGCTGATGCCTTAGTGACCTTGACCAGTATCTAGATCGAAATTCTGTTAACTTTAACACTTTGTTCGAGGCTCTCGTCTCCTTTAACCTGAAAAACGTTACTAACTGTATGATCAAGAATACTTTATTTCAATAAATAATACATCGCGTATACAATGCTGAAATACAGACAACTAGGAAATCAACTAGTAATAAAAATCATACCTAAATCTTGTATACATCGAAAAACGACTGAAAAGCAAGATTGTCAATAGCGAACGTTGCTTACTACATCGGATGTCCCGTTAGAAAAATAAAGAGTAACTATTTGAGGTAACACCCTTAAAGTATGTCGACTGCTGACCTTTGTGTGTGTGGATACCTACGAAAAAGTTCAAAATTACAATTAACCCCCCTACACAAAAAAAGAAGTAATCTTGTAAACTCCGTGTTTTCAAAGAATACAAGTAGTGCTCTGAAGATAAGCGGAAGTGAATGAGAAGATACATTGACTAACTTTTTCATATAAATACAACGAATTATTAGTCCTACTTTTCTGAATAAGTGGAGGCAGTGGAAAAAATATTTAGGAAATGGCATAATAAGGTGTACAATATACGTTAAACTAGTTGAAACAGCTTAAACTGCCAGGAACTCATACACTGAACTCAGAGCTAGTTATTCACGTACATTTGAACATCGACTTACAGCTGCTATCTTGAGGCATCAGTAAGAATTACATATCTCAAAGACTCGACCAGTTATGCTACCTAATATACATCTCTGAGGTACAAGAAAGTCAGGAAGGTATGTTCGGTGATGGTAAAGCTACATGCATTTACCGTCACTATGTAGATAGCTCGTGTTATACAAGCGTTCCAAGGAAGCTATACTGCTGGCTGTACGGAGTATACCAACAGAAAATTGTTTCCCATGGATAACAAGAATTTCATGCTGATACTGCCCTCTCTTTTCGGAAGGAAAGGTTATAAAGTTTGGCTCTTAAATACCACAACACCCATTTCCCTCATACAATAGGTGTAGCCCATCGCTTACCGCACGAATCCGCACAAAGTTGTTGAGTGACTTTCGACTTCTTTTTCCTTTTGATCACCTGCTACAGTTCAGCCAAACACCCGTATCAAGTCAGCATGGATTTCGAACGTAATCAAGAATATTATCTGAAGTGGCCTCCGCTGGCTGCAACCTAACAGTTTACCCGGTGACCTTAATGAAGTGTGCTGTCGTATAAGAGTCAGTGGAAGACTGCGACCCCTTCTAGAACACATCAAAACAACGATCACAAGTTGTTTCAATGTGAGTTTCACCTAGATGAATGCACAAAAATTACAGCCACATGGCTGTTCTAAGAATATCCCAATCATTAAAACCGTAAGGAAGCTTTCATAGAGGAACTGGCAGATAGTTACCGAAAGTAAGGTTAATTATTCTGAAGAAGCTTGATATCACCCCCACTAATAAAACTGTGAGTGAAATTCAGATAAGAGAAATAAATCAGCCAAAAGATCTTGGCAGTTTGTTACAAATTAGTGAACGCATGCAAACGCATCATGTCAGGCTCCCACTAGAATAAGGAGTGGAACCAGAGTTAATGCAGACTTGTAGCGTCACACACTCTCCCAAATAAATAGCCTAGGGTTTGACGACTTTCGACATTGATGCTGACCTTGATAGTTTAACTGGACTCGCTAAGCTGAAGGCACCCGGTCAAGCATCCTCGCCATTTGGCACGCTGTCGTGTTACGTTGCACTGCTCGTATTCGACTCTCTAGCCAGTTAGTTGGAACGCATCGGTATTTTGGCACAACCATCCAAATATACTATTCCATCCGACTACGCTATCGTGTTCTTCCTTGGTCTCGTATTCGTGGGTATATAACAAGTTCGAATAATTAGTGATTGGTCTTTGCGTCTGTCAAGTTCGCACCAGGACAAATCCTAAATTGGTGAGCCCGACGTGATCAAATATCCCGACCAATAACAAATATTGAATTGGTGAGCCTGTTCCATTTTATATTTGTTTATTGTTTTCATTTCGATAACATTTATATATCCATTTACTACACTTTCTCATGTCCGACCACACTCCCAAGCTTATTCGTATTAAGCCGACTACGAACACGATCCAACTCGTGCCATATTGGCCAGACAATGCAGAAACATGGTTTCTGTATGCCGAGGCCGATTTTCGAGAACAGGGTGTCTCAGATCCTCATTCTCGATTTCTTGCTGTCATACGTTCACTACCGCGAGAATTAAACAGGTATGTTACAGCAAACATGTTTAATCCTGAAGTAAGTGACCCTTATGCACTTCTAAAGGCCGCACTCTTGAAGAAAAGCGATCTCACAGATCGCCAACGTCTAGACGAATTGCTTCGTAACATCGAGCTAGGCAGCCACTCAGCTACTGAAGTCCTCGCACGCATGCGAGAAGTAATCGGTGCACGAACATTTGACGATGGCCTTTTCCGAGAACTATTTCTCTCGAAACTACCACAACCGGTGCAAACCGTGTTGGTGACACTGCAGTCAGTCCCACTCGATGACCTGGCAGCCTCGGCAGATAAAATACTGGAGATTTCCAGCAGACCCGTCTCCAACGTATATTCTATCTGCGACAAAACAGAGCGCCAGGATTCAGAGGTGACCAAGCTGTGCAACTCTGTGAAACGGTTGCTACGATCTCGAAGTCCTAGATCACGTAGCACTTCACAGAAACGCACCTTGGCGCATCGCAGCAAGTCGCGTGGTAGCCCTAAAACGAAACCTAACAGGGTGGAAAACCCTGAATGGTGCTGGTTTCATAACACTTACGGAGATGAAGCCAGAAAATGTCGTAAACCATGCCGTTTTAAGAAGGACACAAACTCGGGAAACGGTCACGCCGGCACGTGCTCACGGCAACCGTAGCCGGCGGAAAAAGCCGTTTGCTCTACGTCACCGACATTAAAACGAAAGTCCGCTACCTCGTCGACACCGGCGCAGAAGTTAGCGTTCTTCCAGCAACGACAAAGGAGCGTCATCACGACCCATCCTTCAATCTTCAAGCAGCCAACGGCAAGGCAATCGCGACATTCGGGAGACGGTATGCCTACCTCAACTTAGGTTTACGCAAACCTATCCACTGGATCTTCCTCCTGGCTGACGTCTCTATGCCCATCATTGGCATAGATTTGCTAAACCATTACGATCTACTCGTAGATGCTCGCCGTCGACGACTGATAGATAACAACACAAAGTTATCTATTGGCGGCACCACCTATGTAGGTCCGAGTTTAGCCATCGTTAGAACTAAACAATCAGGCGACGCGTCCTACCAGGCAGTTCTGGAGAAATATCCAGAGTTGCAGCAACCGAAGCACACTCTTCCGTGCATAACCAGCAATGTTATGCATCACGTCACAACCACAGGTCCACCTGTGGCATCCAAAGCGCGCCGTTTAGCCCCCGATAAGCTCAAACGGCGAAAAATGAATTCGACCACATGCTCGAACTGGGCATTATCAGACCGTCAAACAGTCCTTGGGCATCGCCATTGCACATGGTTCCCAAAAAGGATAGCAACGACTGGCGTCCAACCGGTGATTACCGAAGGCTTAACGCCAAAACAACTCCGGACTGCTACCCGATACCTCACGTTTACGACTTGACCGCAACCTTATGCGGAATGAACATTTTCTCCAAAATCGACTTGGTCAAAGCGTACAACCAGATACCTATGGCAGCAGAAGATATCGCGAAAACAGCCATTATTACTCCTTTTGGCCTGTTTGAATTCCTGCGCATGCCATTTGGTCTTCGGAATGCAGCACAAACATTCCAACGCTTTATGGATGACGTCTTCCGTGGTTTGAATTTTGTTCATGTCTACATCGATGACTGTCTAATTGCGAGTCCAGATAAGGAAACTCACCTTAAACATTTGGACCTCGCATTCGAAAGACTAAAAAACATGGCATCACAGTCAACTTACAGAAGTGTGAAATAGGAGTTGAATCACTCAGCTTCCTTGGGCATACCATTGACAACAAAGGTATACGCCCATTGAGAGATAAAGTGGCGGCTATCACAAACTATCCAGAGCCGACCACTGTGAAACATCTCCGCACTTTCAATGGCCTGGTAAGTTATTACCGAAGGTTTATCCCTAACTGTGCCTCTGTCATGAGACCACTAACAGATCTACTTCGAGGAACTGCGAAGTTCGTGTCTCTGGACAACGCGGCTAGACTTGCTTTCTCTAAAGTCAAGGAAGCCATTTCGAACGCAACCATGCTTATGCATCATGACCCCAATGCTCCTTGAGTATTGCTGTTGATGCATCTGATTCAGCAATTGGAGCAGTTTTGCAACAGTTGACTGACAACCAGTGGCAACCGTTAGCCTTTTTCTCGAGGCGGCTGCAAGACGCGGAAACAAGATACAGTACATTTGGTAGGGAACTCCTAGCCATGTACTGTTCTGTACGCCATTTTCGACATTCTGTGGAAGGTCGTGATTTCATTATTTTCACAGACCACAAACCGTTAACGTTTTCCCTCAGCTCGGCGTCTGACAAATACTCCCCTCGTGAGTCGCGACAGCTGGATTACATTTCCCAGTTCACGTCAGACATCCGCCACATTTCTGGAGCAAACAACTCCGCAGCCGACGCACTATCTCGAATAGCTTCGATAAACTATATCGAGGGTATTGATCTCGTTGAACTAGCTCGGCGTCAAAAGGAAGACCTTGAGCTGCATCATGAGTTGTCGTCCACAACTCTCAAACTGCGACTTTGTCCGGTTGGATCAGACAAGGATACAATTTTGTGCGATGTCTCTGCTAGTCAACCACGCCCAATAGTTCCGAAGAGTTGTCGACGCAACGTCTTCAATACGTTGCACAAACTCTCTCATCCAGGTGTACGAGCCACCATTAGGCTTATCGCACAACGTTTCTGCTGGCCTGGGATGAACAAAGACGTTAAGGAGTGGGCTCAGTCGTGCTTAGCTTGTCAAAAGTGTAAAGTCACGCGACACACGAAAAGCTCTTTAGCCTCTTTTCTAGCCCAGATTACCATATAATGAAACTTTTTTTTAAAAAAAGGTGAAAATAAGCGTAAATTTTTATTTTCCGATATGTTTATATATAAATAATTCCCATTTTTACGCAACGTTTTCGTGGTATTAAAGACTTTTATTTGTATTCCAGGTGCAACGAGCACTGGACGGAACGTCAAAAGGAACTGAGGACCGCGATCGACGTCCAATTCGATTTATTGTATTTTATTTATTTAATTGCCACGACACCCTAGAATAAGTACAGATAACCAGGTGCCACTTCACACAGTGAGCCCATCGGAAGAGTTTTACCAGTGGAGAAACCACTGGGTTTTTACTTACGGCTGGTATCGTCTTAGGGTCCTCACGAACCCACCAGGGGGGGAGTTATCTGTAGCATCACACACTTCCCCAAAATCAATAGCCTAGGGTTTGACGACTTTCGACATTGATGCTGACCTTGATAGTTTAACTGGACTCGCTAAGCTGAAGGCACCCGGTCAAGCACCCTCGCCATTTGGCACGCTGTCGTGTTACGTTGCACTGCTCGTATTCGACCCTCTAGCCAGTTAGTTGGAACGCATCGGTATTTTGGCACAACCATCCAAATATACTATTCCATCCGACTACGCTATCGTGTTCTTCCTTGGTCTCGTATTCGTGGGTATATTATAAGTCCGAATAATTAGTGATTGGTCTTTGCGTCTGTCAAGTTCGCACCAGGACAAATCCTAAAGACTGACAGATTTTACACCATTACCAAGGGTAGTTAGTAGTGGGCAACAAAGACTAAAGGAAGAGGTGATACGAAACAATAGACAATAGTATAAACACTAGGAAAAGTGGGGTAAGAAAAAAGTCAATGGTTAGTGAAACTATAACGGAGAAAGATGGATAGGAAATCCATTTTTACGGGGTGATTGAAACGATGAGTGGTACACTTAGAGGAACCATTCAACTGATCACCAGTTACTATTCATTTTCCAACATAGTCCTATTTTGCCTGAAACACCGAGATAAGGCCTTCAACTCTTGCAGAAATAAAAACTGTAAGTAACACGAAACAACGAACGGTCATAGGCCCTGGCGGCCTTGCGTTAACAACAGCCGAGGATCGGTGGTGAGATTAAATGACTGGTCTCAAACACTGATAGCCCAATTCTTCATGAAACAAAACTTCTCTTGTTGTATCCACGAATTGTAAGGGTCTCAAATTTCATAACCGCCGAATGCCTGAATGAAGCTTAAGAAACGCAAATTCAAGAAAACTAGACAAGTTTTAGGCCTAGACGTGCGATAATGATCATACGCTCACCATCCGACGGGAACTGAAACATAGGCACATAAACCTTAAAATCCAATCGTAACAATGAAGAGGTGTACATGTACGTCAACATAAAAACGGTGAAGGGCGGACTCATTAAATTCTAATGGCATACCTCAACCTGCACATTCTCAAGATGACGTTTTCCCTGTTGGTGATTTGGTATGATATGAAACCACTTTTTTAGATTGAAAAAACTTGAACAATCTTTCCCATGCACCAAAATAAAAGCAATATTTTGTGCAGAAATTCTAAGAGAATTCTTATGAATAATTTTAGCTGCCCAAGATACAACCGTGTCCACCGAAACTTCTCCGATGACTCGCTCAAAAAAAGCAGAATTCTTCAAAGGTCCTGAAACAATGTGAGAACCCTCATGTTGAAGTCCACTCCCTGCGTACAGAAACGAGTGATTACAACAATCCCAAATATGCAGTCTGACTTCAGTGGTTTGTTTTGAGCATCCTTGAAGTGACCTAGATACAGATTTGACAGTAATTGATTATTTTTATATTACATATAGTCAGCAATGACCTTGAAAGTTCTTTGCCAGTTCTTCTGAAAAACGCAATTGCAACGAAAACAGCATTACTGACTATCTTTAACAAAACAAGACCAATGAGCTTAGTAAATAAAATCAGAACAGAACTCATATTGTACCGCTGAAAGTTAAGTGAGTACTGATTTTCAAGGCCTTCAATTGGCAATAAACTTCAAACTTCGTGTTGTAGAATTAGTGAATGGCGGTTCCTTGGGTTCTACGTCTGTCTTATTGCAATACATTCTAGGTTTGGAATTGTCACAGTTATCTTCCTGGTTCCGAAAAACCTGAATGGATAGAGATAAACGATTATTAATTATTCTGGCCTCAAGGTAGTATTGCTGCGCCTCATCTGCAGTTGACGGAAAGCTTCTCAGTACAGCTCATCAATGCAATCAGACTCAAGGTGTAAGTCCAACCTTCTTTTAAAAGTATCAGGGGGTGGGGCTATAACAGCTGCTGAAGGGAGGGAGTTCCACAGTTTACAGACTCTAACCGCAAGTGAGTTAGCACGGATCTTTGTACTTGCCCTCTAATGCTCTATTCTAAACGGGTGGCCCCTCAGGTCACGTTCCCGAGTAAAGCTTAGAAGGGATCTGTTGGGATGGGGAGGATTATGGGCGATATGGTACATCAAGATCGTACCCCCTCCGATCTTCCGATTTTGTACTGGGTGCAGCTTAAGAGCAACTTAGAGGTGTGGGGTGAGGTTTGTGCCGTGACCCAATCGCTTCCTTCGTAGCTCTTCTTTGTACCCGTTCTAGGACGCATATGTCCTTCTTCAAGTCTGGGGGCATAACAAGCGAATTCTTCCCTATATGAGGGTAAATGTACACAGCATACACTGTGGTGAAAAGAGAAAGAGTTAGACACCCTAAACGTCTCCAGAAAAACCCCAAGACCCCATATGCCTTGTTGGTTGCAAGGTCGCAGGGGGCTGAGCCTCTTAGTGTGTCACTAAGTGTGAGTCCCGGATCTTATTCCATGTTAGGGTGACAAATATTTATTTCACCCACAGAGTAAGAGCTTGGGCTGCTTATGCGTCTGTCTTCTACCATTATCCGACACTGAGTTGAGAGGAATGTGAATTAAGGACCCCTGGTAGGTCATTGATAAAAGCAAGAAACAGTAGTGGGCCCAGAACAGAACCTTAAGGCACACCACTCAGCATCGGGAAACATTTGGTTAGAGAACAGTCAACTCTGACTGCAACCTGGTGTAAAGAGAATCTCCAGGCCAAGTAAGTAATTTTCCGTGTGTGCCCATGAGCTTCTAGGATGTGTCCTGGTGCGAACTTGACAGACGCAAAGACCAATCACTAATTATTCGGACTTATAATATACCCACGAATACGAGACCAAGGAAGAACACGATAGCGTAGTCGGATGGAATAGTATATTTGGATGGTTGTGCCAAAATACCGATGCGTTTCAACTAACTGGCTAGAGGGTCGAATACGAGCAGTGCAACGTAACACGACAGCGTGCCAAATGGCGAGGGTGCTTGACCGGGTGCCTTCAGCTTAGCGAGTCCAGTTAAACTATCAAGGTCAGCATCAATGTCGAAAGTCGTCAAACCCTAGGCTATTTATTTGGGAGAGTGTGTGACGCTACAAGCCGAAGTTCCTCACACAGGATATCATGATTTGTCTTGTGAAAGGCCTTAGAAAAGTCAAGTGAACCCATGTGAATGGGCTTTTTCTGTTCAACTGAGAGTCCAAACACTTCAAGCTATAGAAAAACTGGTGTTAAAAGACTTTCCAGGTAAAAAGCCACATTGGCAACCGCTTACGATTGATTTCTTAAGTAAGTGATCACGAAGTAAGCCATTTAGGACTCTCTCCGCGAGCTTCGCAACTGAAGGAATCAGGGAGATCTGTCTGTAGTTAGAGGCGAGTAGTTTATTTCTACCTCTATATATTGGGACGACGGCCGCCTGTTTCCAATCAGAGGGTCACCTGCCTTCCGGAAATGAGCACTTGAAGGGGTTTGCTACCTCAGAAACTAAAAGTTTTGGATCTCTCGTGTCTACTTCTTGCGGCCTTGAGCTCGTTGTTTTGTTTGCTTCAGTATTGGACAGAAATATCTTCTCTCCTTTCCCCTTTTCAGCGTATTTCAGCGATTGCCAATTCCCTCTTTGTTTTTTGAAAAAGTGTGATTACATGGTGGTAAAAAAATTCACACGAAAAAGGTGAAATGTAGGGGGGTTTTCACATTCCCAGTTAATAAAAACCGGCGCCCCCAAAATGAATTAAAAAATGGTTGGTGCACTTCTACTCGCACCTTTTAGTTGGATATGTCGCTAGATACTCCGGGAAGCTGACAGCTCGGTCTGGTCGTGTTTTTGTTCTGCCGTCAGTCGTTATATCCGTGTATTGCCAGATACATAGTAAACAATTTCGATAACTGGGCTGCCTTGTTTGTAAATCATATCCAGTGGTGATGTGCATGGGCTACTTGAAGGTTTGATACTGCTCAGTTTGAGCTTGCGGCCTGTCAGAGGCCATAGGGGGTACTTTGTGCGCTACAAGTGAACCCCCGGTTGTGACGTGGCGCACGAAGTCGCTGATTATGTACGGCAGAGCATGTACTGGTGGTTGTAACTCTGGATATTTATATGAAACCGCCCGATTGGATGAGTTGATGGAGTGACTGGTTCTAACGGTGGCTAAGCACGGACCTGCGTAGGTGGTGCTGCCAACAGATAACTTAGTCAACGACAAGCGTTCACGAGTAGATGGCAATGATTCAGCAAATCCGTGCCAATGATTGGCATAGAAATGTCAGCTGGGAGGATAATCCACCGAACAGGTTTAGGTGAACCATAATTGGGGTAGGCATACCGCCTCCCAAAGGTTTTGATCACCTTACCGTCAGCTGCTGGAAGATTGAAGGATGGGTCATGAAGACGTTGCATCATCAAACAAAAGCCCTTCAGATGTTTATTTCTTTGTACAGCAACAACCTAATATGATGGATTACGTCTTTATTGCTGGGCAAGGCCACACCAAGAGTTGGAAATGTTAAGACTCATACGCTCACGTGGATTATATGGTTATGCTAATACTTACCGTTACCCGAAATCGACGAGGTGAGTTTTGCTGGCCAACGATGCCATAGACATGTTAACTGACGTCAAAATAAACGTTTATCTGACAGAACTCGGAACTATACCGCCAGGTTAACCATCTAGGTCACATGCAACGCAAACGTCGAATATTGTGCGATTTTGGTATCACTTGATTGTGTAAAAAGAATCGTGAGTGGGGGAAACCGAAACTCATAAACAATCTGAATGTACTGTGGGGTGGTATTTTTCTGCTCTTTTCATGACGTGTAGTCACTTATATTATCATTATAGGCCGTGATGCGATACCTTCCATATCACTCAGGACAGCCTAACTACTGGAGATTTCTTTACCATTATCATTTTGATGATGCCTGTGAACTGGCTTCTCTTACGTTAAACTGTTAACCTGAGAATAAAATATTTATTTATTTATCGTTACGTGAAAATAGTAACTTCTGCTCTGGTGTCGATGAGGCAGCAAACTTTCGTTTTTACACCGGTGATGTACAACAAACAGCTTTTCCGCCAGCTACGGTTGCGCTGATGCGTGGTGGCGAGGCCGTTTCCCAAGTTTGTGTCTATGCTGAAAATGCGTGGTTTTCGACAACTCCTGGCCTCATCGCCGAAGGTATTGTGAAACCAGCACCATTTGGAGTTTCTCACCCTGTTAGGTTTGGTTTTTGGACGGCCACATGATTGTTTCGATGGGCTGAGACGCTTTTCTGAGATGTGTAACGCAACCTGGGGCTTCGGGTTTGTATTATCTGCTTTAAAGTGTCGCACAGCTCGGTCGCCCCGGAATCCTGGCTCTCAGGTTATCCAAAGACCGAATAAACGTTGGAGATGGGCTTGTTACAGATCTCCGGTATTTTATCTGCCGAGGCTGCCAGGTCATCGAGCGCAACCGACTGAAGCGTCACATAGTTTTCACCGGTTGTGGTTGTTTCCAGAGAAACGGTTCTCGGAAAATGCCATTATCGAACGCTCACTGGCCCATGACTTTTCACATGCGTGCGAGGAAATCGGTTGCTGGGTTAATGCCCGGCTCAATATTACGAAGCAATTCGTTTAACCTCTGGTGTTAGCATACATAAAATATGTTTCTGCATGGTCTGGTCAGCATGGTACCAGCTGGATAACGTTCCTCATCGGTTTAGTACGGGCAAGCGTGCCAAATGGTGCAGATGCCTGACCATGGACCTTCAACTTAGCTAGTCCGGTAAAACTATGACGGTCAGAACCAATACTGAATCACGCTGAACCCTAGGCTGTTGATCCTGGAGAAGTATGTGATGCTACACTATCGACGAGTGGAGGTGTTACGGTAAAATCTTGGAAGCAGTTCAAAATTTTCAGTTCTGAAACTTAGGAAACGTCTTCTTATACTCTTAATCTGATTGGTCTTGTCTCGGCCTCTATTGTTATTTTCCATGTCTAGTACAGTCACCTTTCTTGTAGTGACAAATGGCTTGTCGAAAATTAATAACCTGGGGCTAGACGAGATTCACTGTTGATGGGACTGTAGCACCAAAATAATGCTGGGATTGAAACAGATAAATAACGTTTCAGATGTCTAAATAACAGCTAAACAATCTTCTATGACTTTGGTCCCGTCAGATTGTTTTATTGTTTGGGCACCCACTTTTTGACGTTTGCGTTTTCATGTCAATTTTGTACTGGCCGGCAAAACCCAGTTCAGAGCTCCATCTAAGCCCTTAATAGACAGACAAGATTCTTCGTCGTAATATAGCTTCTTGTCCTCTGACTGATCAATAAAGTGTTTGTATGGGTATGTTTTTACAACATGACGTGTTTTTCAACTTGTCCTTTGTTAACAGTACCTACAGGTGAGCAAGATGCTGACTGATGCACATTAATTCGTGAAAAGCTGATCAGGAGTAAGGTAAAAGTGACAAAACCGGATACGTCATACAAGACAGTGACAGTTTTGATGAAATGTTCAAGCTGAAAATTGCACTAAAACCTCTAGGGTTCTAGAATCTTGCGAGAGTGCGTTTGCTGATCTTGATGTCTTCGGGTTGAACCACCTATCCGCTTTATACGCCAACGTAATTCTTACAGTTTCTTATGATTTTAAATATCTATGGAATAATTAACAGCAGATTAACGGGTGATTTCAATATACTGGTGCCTACTTTCAGTATATTAGGATGGACGTCGCCCATATCATGACTGATATTTATTCTTGTCCTCTATGGTTCTTGGAAGGTCGGGTCAAAAGGTTCCTCCCTCATGAAAATTCTTTAGTGGCAGCCCTGGGAGGTCATGTAGTGACTTAAACAGCCTTCGTCAAAATATATTCTTGCGTGTTTAGATCTTACCGGTGATGCCGATTATTAGCGTCTCTGGGTGGTCACATAATCACTGAATAACCTGGAAATCCCATTTTTAAGATCCGAAGGTTAGCAACATATACAAACGAACTTCGCAGTCATTTGTAAAACATCCTACCACGCTCCTTGAAATGCTAGGGTGCGTTGTGCTCTCCGATTGTTAGCCTAACCAATAGCATTCTTTACCCTTCAAATACTGCTGGCGACGTTTGCTAGTGGAAGGTTGGCCAGAGTTGTTCCCACAGTTTAACCGGCCTAGTGGGAGATTGTGGTCCCACCATTTCCATACTTTTCTAAAAAGACTAGCCAGGTATATACTGTAACTTACAAAGTTCATTCATCACGATGGCCCAAAGTCCATGACACCCAAGAGGTCTACAATTGGTTGTACATTAACTGTCTTCAAAATACTCTCCCATCTCACAGTGATCTATCTGGAACATTTGAATTCACCTAATTCCCCAGCTGCGGTAGTTTTGTTCGGCACTGTGTTCTGTTTATTCACAACTCTGCTTGCATGTTCCCTATAGGGGGGGGGGCGAGGGAAAGACCACATAAGACTTTGTGCTCGCACTGCACGTCGTCTAGCGTGCGCTGTTTATGCAGAAAAAAGATGTTAGGTCTCAAGTCGCCCATCAAATAAACTCCAGCTGCACAGTATGTCACAATGTAGCAAGCGATTAGCTTAACGCTCAAAGATTACTTCATCAGAATCATCTTTGTATGGGGCGTGATGGACACATCTTTCTTTGGAAGAAACTGAAATACAATTAAGCCATGTGTGACTGATCACTAAATTCTGACGTGAGCAGTATTTAGGCCAACATTTTTCGAAGTACGGTGTGTCAATATTACTTGGGATCTACTGAATGAGCAATTTATTACCATTTGTTTATCATCGACCGAGTAAAAACCATCATTATTCAACTATTTCTTATTCATGTGAAGTTTCTACCGAAAATTGTTCCACAGATCCATCCGTTCGTTGACTAATTACTACATTTACGAAGGATAGGCAGTCACTGCCGCATTCTACATATGCCAAAGGTATGTCATTTTATGTTTCGTTGAGTTAGTTTACAAATGTATTGGAGTAACTTCAATCGTCAGACATGATATGAACAACAGTGTACCCCAGATGTAAATGACCTTTCTTAATGGCTTCATAAACCAAGCATCATGTCTGTCATAAGCGCCCCTGCTGAAAGAGGGCCCAGCGGACTCCTGGATGCAACACCATCAATCTGACCGAGACGTTTACTCCTGAATATGAATCCTATGTAACTTGCACATAAAATTGTGAACCTCTTAGGCGAGGGGTAAAAGTCGGTTTCTCGAAGTCTTCCGCAAAAATATGATCACATAGGAAGTTTGCGCCAAACGAATTCAAAATTTTACTTCCAGTGGTAGGGTCGTCAAAGCAGTTGCCTATTCTGAATACGTCTCGCACACAGAACTGCTTCTTAATCGGATTTAACGATTCAGATAGCCACTAAATGAGCCGGTGTCCCGGTATTCCCCACACTGAGTATTCAGAAATGGAGTTCAGGCCTTCTGAAAGTGACGTTCGATGTCCAGGGGATTTTCCATCCTGACAGCACTTTCACTTAACGGGATTATGTCATATGCGTACTACAGGTTCAGTCCGCTGTGGCAAGACTAGGTCTGACAACAACCATAGCCATCATAAGAATGTCGTTGATAAATTTAGGTAAGAATGGACATTCTTGACGTATGCCAGCCGACATGTACTACTCACCAGAAGCCTTAAAAAGCTCATGTGCTCGGGTACAAAGCATTGAACAGAATGATGTGCTTACTCGGCAATTCTTCGGGCAACATGGCCATAAGATAGAGTGATTGACATTACCAAGTACCACCAACGGATCGACAATGTAGCCAAAGCCGGGCATCGATACAACTACCAGTGTTCTGGAACCCCGCAGAAGGCGGACGCCTGTTTGCCAAACTCCCGATCAGGTCTGAAGCCTGTTTGGTTCTCCTTATTTTTATATTCCTGAGCTCCACTCAGACGCCTGGTGACTACAGAACCCACAATCTTAGATATCACGTTCGTCAGGCTGCTTTCCCTATCATCACGAGGACTTCTCCCATTCCTTATGGACTCGAACAATCGGCGACTGGGAGCACCTAGCGGGATCACGTTTGACCTCCACACAGTGGTCTACATTACTTTAGTCTGGTCGGTAACCCCCTACCTATCATCCTCATATACCTCTAGCGCTATTCCACCCGAGATTCTTGCGCTTACTCCACTTCCGCACTCGTTAGGGCTCCATCTCAATACACTGTTCGGGATCCGACCATGGTGAGCAATGAAATAGTAGCTGAAGGGCAGTCGAAGTGTTCCCCGCAAGCCCCCCCCTTCCAGTCGTTTCGTCGGTGAGTGAAGCACACAGCTAGCACTCCACACTGAGGTCTCACTAACCACAGATGTTATATCGTTCCCACAATTGGCCCAAGCACTGTTGCCTGTCACATAAGTGTTGCCCTTTTCGTCTCAATAACCTAAGCTGCCGACCACTGCTCATTGTCATAGAGTGAACTTCTAGTCAGTCGACGTCCGATCAGTTTCCACTCGGACCCTGTAGGGATGCGCTGCGCACACCCACTAGGCAATCAGTTGCTGACATCTACTGCCACTTCCTGGGAATCATTCATGGTCCTTGACCCTCCTTTCACTGCATACTGAGGGCGACACCAAGCTTCTTCGAGATAAATGACAGCGCCCTGTCCCGGCAATTGTTTAGCCTGATTGTCGTTCGAAGCAATCCCAGTATGCTCATCACCAAACTTTGCCGTGACGATCTTGTTGCTGTAGGTCTCCTATAACCATCTAGGTGCAGACACACGCTTGGTCGTCATCCAAAAGTGCTCCAAGGGAAGGAATGTACCATCATCCCCCTGAGCGACGGCGTGTTGTCCCTGCCTACCGCTGGGTCGAAGCTGGCGAACGCCATGTCGGAGCCCTCCCTTTATGTCTGAAATCCGTACTAACGAGGGAGGATAGCTGTCTGCGCATAGTTGTCGCGTGCAACCAGCTTTACTTGTCCGCTTACCTAGGGTTCCGAGAGCACCACTTAGGTGCCTTTAACCGACTTGACAGAGGGTGAGCTTTGAGAGCGAGTTTATAGCTAGGAATGTGTTCTCGGCGAACTACGGATAGCCTTTCACGAACCCAAATCATTATCAAGAATTTCAGCGCCGGAACACGTTAGAGACAACACGGGAACACTAAACAAGAGACATGAGGGGAGGCTTCATGTGCAAAGGGTTGGCGCTGAATGGGAAGATCTTCGGCGGTGACGGGCTGTGAAGACAGTTGGAACTCCCAAGCTATGAGCTTCACGGGCGCTACTTGCTCCTGAGGTGACTGAAAAAACGCCAAGCTAAACTTAGTAGTGGTGTGCGACTGGAGAGCCACAGCGTACGCTTGAGACTGACCATACGCGGGACTTTCCGGGGTTCGAGGTCCAAGTTATTTCAAATCTAGCTGCAATTCTACGCCACCAGCATAGGGAGACCGTAGAGTTGGTGTTGTGCTTCTTTGAAGGTTGACTTTTCCTAACCCTCCCCTCATTCTCCTTAGGGAAAGAAGCATCAGCATGGTGCTGCTGGCCACTCATGGGGAGCATTACTGACACCACATACCACCCAACCAGCAGCAGAACTTCACTTTCAGACTCTTCCACTATACCACAGTAAGGGGAGAAGTGTTCTACTAGCGCAGGATAACCTTCGGTGCGAATACCTATGACAAGTGTGCATGAGATCATATCATCGCGAATGCATAGCAGAAACACACTTTTTTTGAGGTTAATAAGGGAGAGTAAGTTCTAAATTACTTTCCAAACTCAACAAAAATATTTCCTAAGCCTTTGAAATCTTTTTTTACAGCAGTACAAAACGTCGAACAGACTACTCTCCATGTTTACACAAATGAACTGGCTATCGACAAAATTTTAGTTATATCTCCTGATAGACTTCGCAATCGGGCAGGTATTGGAACAAGTATTCGTGTACCCAAAGGATTTCCATCATCATCAATAAGAACTACATTATTCGCCTCAAAACGTGGCCAACCATCCTTAGATGGCAATCGAGAACCAACTATCCAGCCTTTCTTTAGTTCCCCTTCGACAGCAACCAACACTTTATCACCTAAATAAATACAGAAAAACAAAACATGAATGCATAACCGAAATTATGAGCAACTGAATTACAATTAGCCACTAGTTAATAGAAGCTAAAGAAGATTCATAAGTAGCATAAAAGGTGGACTTCACAGTGTTGATGAGTAGTAATTGAGACCCCACGATGGTCTCATAACTTTACAAATTTAAGACTATACGGTAAAACCACCACTAAACTGTAACTTCGGAGTGCGGGGGTTCTATCCATAACTTGGGAAAGAACTTGTACGTGACTGGACAGTCTCAGGGGAGGAGAGGACAATTAGTGGATCTCTTATGATCCCACTAGTTTACAAACTAACGTTGACTCATGGAACCTTCTGAAGCTATTCGAGACCGTTAACTGATAAATTTCTACCGAAAAGGCAGGGTGAAAAGCAAAATACCGCACTGTTCTCACTCTGAATATACAAATGGTCAGATGACTTTCGAAAGTATTGAAAAGGAACTTGGATACCACTCAAAAGGTATGTGTATCACACTACGCATGAAAACGTATTATAAGGCTTCAACTCACCAATTTTTCCTCTGTTCTTTTTATTATAAACACAAATACATTTCGCAGGTTTAATTGAAAGTGCTTTCGAGCCAAGGGCAATTAGATCTCGAACATCTTTATCACCCTTAACTACGTTTGGTGTTTTTTGTTCACTTGCCGCTATCTTCTTTCCTGATTGATCTCTACCTGGAATAGTTGAAGGTTGAATACTACTCCAACGGCTATTATCAACAACACGTAGACGTGTTTGTGGTGCTATATAGTTTAAATACCCATGGCCTTCATTTACTGATGTCCTGTATTCACAAAAACCGAAGAACGCAAAAACGTAGAAAAGAAATGGTGTTAGCAATATTTTCATGACAAACATTTTGGTAGATTCAATAAGTCTATAGGTAAAGTTTAGTGCTCCTGAAAATGAATTTTTCACAAATGAACGTAACTACGTGCGTTCACTTGATTTTTTTAAACGGAACAGATGATATATCTAGACTGTCATCAGAACCTTTTCTCAAGAAAAAAATCAGAAAGTGAGGGTTTGATTACCATCAGGACATAAGTGATCCAAAACGAAAACAACAAATCTACTAACCCAACCACGTACCATATAGAGGATTTAGAATCAACAAATAAATAAACTATCATGAATAAAATGAGTAGAAGAGTAAATGCTGGTCCCACAATTTTAGCTGATTTACAAAGATTTTTCTTGGCGTAAACATTCAACTTTTAAACCGTGGGTCCTAATTTAGTCACCAACCGTTAAGTTATTATGCTTGTGTTCTAGGTCAGAAACTTGTAAACTGATGAACTGGTTTTCAGTAATGATGTGTCTAGCAATAAGGAATGAAATGGTTGAGCGCCTCGAACATTCAACCTGCCTGAGAAGTCAGTCAGCCTTAATGGGTAAGTGATGCCTGAAATCTCTGCACGGATAAGTAAGGCTTGCTTGGCTTTCGCCAGACTACGTCATTTATGGAGCCTCTGGGATATCCGATCGTCATTCAGGGTCGAGTGCACTGTGGCGTATTTCGCTGCGTTCCACCATATGACTGTGAAACATGGCCATCGAGGGTAGAGGATATGAGAAGGTTTCAGATACTTGACCAGCGTTGTCTTCCTAGCATAGACCATGTATCGTGGAGTCTTCATGTCAGGAATGCAGAAGTCAAGGGAGGAGAGGAAATTCTGTTGGTGAGGTTGTGAACCTTCATCGACACAGGTGGCTGGGACATGTGTTACGCATGACTAGTCACCGTCAGTCTCATCACACGATGTTAGCTGAAGTAGATCTAGGCTGGAGAAAGGTTAGAGGTGGTTAGACATGACATGACATGACATAAGTCCCTGAAGTCTTTGAGTGTTGGTCTGAGACGTGTAGGCAAATTTAGGCTTCCTGGTAGGGGTCTGCATGACAAAACAAACCAGTGGCTGAAGACTCTACAGAACATGGCTATGAATTGATCTCAACAGTGCAGATGTATCTAAACATTATCTTCACTTTAGTCGTCATAGTGAATTCAGTATTCTCCTACGGCTCCGTGTTATCTTATCACGACTTTCAACCACTATGACTGCTTTCTTCCCTATTTATCTTCCTTACACTCTTGTGCTTACTCGTTTGACTTGATGAGGTGGAACCTTGAACTATTATGCAATAGCGCCTAGTCCTATGTTGATACTGCTTTTCGGCAGTCAGTGAAAGTTATATATCACGTATAATGAGTATCCCCACTACAAAAAGACAACTACAACGAGACCCTAGCTCGAAAATGGGAATGATGAGTTTTAAAGAAAGTCACAGAAACGAATGATTGACATATTGAGCTACATTAGCATAACTTCGATTGATAAATCGTTTAGGGAGGATGGGTGAAGTCACTTCCAAAAATGAATACAAAGCGACGTAGTCACAAAGATATTTTCGACCACCGTTAACAAGTGGAACTGTTGCACTATATTCATTCACTGTACACACTGTCATCAAAATCTTGAAAACTGTTACAGGAATAAGCTGAAAAGAAACCAATTAGATTAGTGAATTTTTATATCACATACAAATGAGTCTTCAAATAAACTATAAGCTGGGATAACCTTTCAATTACCGCGATTTCCTAGATAGTCAGTTATTCAATATAGAGTTTAGATGTCAGCATTTATATCACTAAGAAAGGAATAACCATTTCAAACCCTACATACAAGTACATCGGTTTAAGCTGTCACACTTCACATTACCATACACACATCAATTAAACAGAAAGCAAAACTGATATAAAGTAAACAAAGGTGTATAGGACGATGAATTTGAACGTCAAACCTAGTGAAAATATTCAAGTTTCTGAATGGACCTGTCCTTCCTCGGTTCTACTGTAGACCAGAAATACACAAACCAGACATCCCTCTACGACCAATTGTCTCACCTCCTGAAACTCCGACATACAACATATTGAAAGAACTTTCGAGAAAACCGAAACACCTCGCTCAATCATGCAGACATTCCAGCAAATCACAAACGGAATTCTTAGAAAAGATCAAAAACATTAACACAGAAAACGACGAATTAATGGTATCCTTCAATGTCACAGCACTATACACATCCATCAAACCTCAATTGGCCAAGGAAACTATGTCCCTTCTGCTCAATGAAAACACAAGCCTTACAGAATGCACAAAACTTAAATGTTCAAGTCTGATGGAACTCATCGACCTTTGTATGACAACATACTTCCAATTCAATGGCAAGATATACAAACAGGCGAAAAGAACTCTAATGGGATCACCGATATCCTGACTAATTGCGGGAGCAGTGATGCAGAGACTGGAAGCCATCATCCTATCTATGGTCAAACCGAGATTCTGGATTCGCTATGTGTGCGACACTTTTGTCATACTAAAAAAGATGATACAGAAAACACCCACAGTTTGATCAACAACGTTTCCAGTGACATCAAATTCACAATGCAGAAGGAGTCAAACAACCAACTACCATTCCTGGGTGTTTTAGTCAGTAGAACAAATGACGGAAAGCTGGGAACCCAAGTGTACAGGAAGCTAACACACACTGACCAAATCCACAACTACAGTAGCAACAACCCAATAACACATACAATCAGTTGCGTGCAGACTCTATTCAAAAGAGCAAGGACATACTGCAGTACAACAACTTCATGGAGAAACGAAGAAAATCATTTGATCTCGATACTAAAGAAGAACGGCTACCCACGAAACTTTATCACAAGATGCCTATCCCGTTCATCATCAACTACAAAGTCATCGACAGAATATAACAAAAATCATGACAAGATTACTGAAACCACTTGGAATTGGTGTGGCTCATAAACCAACAAATTCCCTGCAAACACTTTTATGCAGACCAAAGGATGCGACAGCCAAAGAAGACAAACCGAATATCATTTACAAAATCAACTGCAATAACTGTAGTCAACACCACATTGGAAAAAGTGGTCGCTCTCTTCGCCTTCGTCTACGTGAACACCAATTGGCTACTAAACGTCACGACATTTCATCACTCATTTCAATGCACGTGGATAATTACGGACATGAATTCAATTTCAACAATGTAGAAATTTTGGATGGAGAGAGTAAACACAAAAAATATCAGAAGATCCCTAGAAGCTTGGCATTCAGGTCAGTCAGCAATCAACAGATGTATAGACATAGACCCAATTTATCGACCAATCAGAAAGATGATAAACGACAGAAAGGTCGGAGGTCAAGCAGAGGGACTGCCAACAGTCACTGACACAACAATCAAAGGAAACAACCAATCATAGACCGCTTCGTCGAGGCAAGCTACTAAATCACTCACGGAGAGATATTGACAGCTCACCTCATACTGAAGTTAATCCTAATTACGTCGTCTAGGAAGACGATTAGAGCTTCATGATTAGACAACCCAGCTCAGAGAACACAATACAAGCAAGACAAGTTTTCTGCATTCATGCAGAGATTTCGTGAGCCACTGACTAATGCACCAGGCTGATCCGACTTCCTAGGTTAGTGAAGTGTTTCACGCACCCATTCACTTCACTATTCATTACTAGCCATGGTACCGCTGAAGCCCGGTACTAGAGCAACAACCTACATTTGGGTGGCAAGAAGCGCATCCCGAAAATTCTCAAACTCCCACTCAATATGTCCAGAAGACTCTGCATCTTGTCAGCATTTTAATCCAGCAGGACTATGTCATCTGCGTATCCCAAGTCTACCAAAAATTGTCTGATGATCACGTCAACCGCTGTGCGGTCAGATATCGGAGAGAGACCTCCATGAGAACATCTATGACAAAACTAAATAGGAATAGAGAGTGTGGGCATTCTTCACGCACACCACTTAACGTAGACAACTCATCTGATATCTCACCGTAGCGTCTAACACGCCTACAGGTGTTCCAGTAAAGAGCCTTCAATAAGACGATGTGCTAACTCGATACCTCTTCAGAGAGAGGCAGTATCATAAGACTTCTGATTTGACGGAGTCGTATGCCGAATTCAGGTCAAAAAATACAGAGGTTGTCGGGAGTCGGTAAGCAGGCCTAGTTTCCAGAACCTGGCGCAGCGTGATACAGCCACGACCAGGTCTGAAGCCTAGCTAGTTTTTTCCCGTTGGTTACTTCCGACCTCCACTCAGGCGTCTACAGATCATAGGACCTAGAATCTTGGATAAAATGTCAGTCAGAGTGACTCGTCTGTAGTCATCACAAGTGGACTTTTCGCCCTTCTTGAAGACATGGATAATAAGTTTGATTTGGTCACCCTTAGTCTTCCTCCGATCTAGTCCGATTTCTGCTAGTACTACATGTTGCTTCGTATGTCTAACAATTTTAAATCTGTTAAGTATTATTTTTTCGTAATGCAGTAAAGGTTTGTGATATCCTCTTGTATTATTTGAACATCTTTTGTCATAGGTTTTCTTGAGTGTGTACATTTTTTCGGGGAAATTTTAAATCGTTTAACTTGTTTTCAGTTCTTAAACAAAAAGAAAAGTAAAAAGTTGTAAAACATTTCGCTGGTTTTACAGACTAAACTCGATTAACCTGCGACACAAAAGATGAAGTATGTATCAAACGAAATTTCCAAAACTCATAACTCAGTATGGTGTTCTAGGCTCATAAAATTTATGCAAATTTCTTGTCAATATGATCATTGGATCTACCGTAGGAAACATGTGGAATTGTGTTACAATCTACGAGTTCATGCTCCAAGCTGTCAGCTTTATGGGCACATTAGAAATTCTTATTGTTTATCTAAATCACGTAGCAAAAAATGTATCGATT